TTGATTGACAGACGGAAACACATGTTCATCTCTGGGGGCGAGAACGTCTACCCTGCAGAAGTTGAAGAAGTCCTCACCGATCACCCCGATGTTTTGGATGTTGCTGTTGTTGGTATCCACGATGACTCCTGGGGCGAGGCCGGTAGGGCTTATGTGGTCGCGGTGCCTGACTCTCAGGTGCAACCGATAGACCTGGTGGCTCATTGTCAGTCACTGATTGCTCGCTTCAAAGTCCCGAGAGACTTTGTGTTTGTTAGTAACTTGCCGAGAACCGGGTCGGGGAAGATCATGAAGCACCTTTTAACGGAGGGGTCAGTAGCGAGATTATGAATTCAGTAGAAAGTTTGTAAGATTCAACGGTTGCGATCGACAGAGTTTGGCATTGAACATGCGCATTCGTTCTGGCAAAAGAAAAGACTTCAACCACTAAGGGTAGCAAAAGATTGCGCCGAGGGGGAATCGAACCCCCGGCTCCCCGACGCTGCTTGATGGCAACGGAGAATTTTACCACTAAACCATCGGCGCTGTACGTTGAATGACGATGTGGAGATGTTCTGGTGGTCGGCCAGGTTGCATTACGTTGTGTGGTGCTGAGATCGCGAGTTGATGGAGCCAAGAAAGCCTTGCCAGTGTTCTAGAGATTTAGAAGCGACAGCTGAAAAGATGGAATGAAGTTAAATCTCTACACCCAAATCACTTCCAACTTACTTCCAACTTTGGAAACTTCTTACATCATTTCGGTACCGATCGGCGCGATTCAGACTGTGGGGAAGGGTCCTCGCCTAATGTCTGGCTCGGTACATGACATCTGTCGAATGCGACTTGTTGGAGAATCCGAGAAGGATCACGAAGGCTGACTGTGCCCCAAGACACCATGCGCATTGAGGGCGTGAAAAGGAATGGCTACTTTTGGTCAGCTTTCTAAATCCAGCGACCCGTCCCGCATTACAAGAGGGTGTTGAGAAAAGAAAGCCCAATCAACAGGATGGCGTTCAGCCAACGCTTGTCACAACGAGACAAGTGCTTACCTCCTGTTTACAGCTCGTTGCTCAGCAGTGTGAACAACCATGCAACCTACATAAAACGCCTCGGTGGCTTCTCAACTCTCGTCTTCAAGTCCTCGGCATCCGGTCTGTTGGAGTCCCCGTCCGAGACCGGACTCGTTTTCCTCAATTGTTATGACCAATTCTGATCTCCTTCACCTGAAGCTGTGCATTCAGCAGACCTGATTCCACATCCTGTGCGCGCAATTTTGGGGGCTTACCCGCTAACAACATCAGAAGGCCTCCCAAGAGAATTGGGGTCCGTATCTCCATCAATCACAACGCTGGGATCCAGCTTGGGCAGCAACCGCCGAGGATGCAATGAGCATCACAGAATGATCTGATCGTTGGAACCCGGAACTTCCGCTTCATCCTGGCATGCATACGCCCGATTCCGCCCCCAGGGCCCTGCGTCTACGCTGTACTTGGGACGATGGATGCCTGCGGGACTCGTTGCGCTCATCGGCGCCAGTCGGCGAGCATGCACGGCGAGGCTTCGCCCAGATGGAGCCTGAAGGTGCATCAGTGAATCGATGTTGGCTTGTCAATCGTGCAGCTCTATCGTGTCCGCGTTAGCTACACAGAAGTCGGTCCCACTCGGCCTCGGCTTTCTCCACAGACATTGTCCTTCCCGACCGAGAGTTAACCGGCTTTGCTGTCACCCTTTAACCGCGTGTCAAACCGTTATAATCTGGGCTGAATGTTTCTGGAATTGCTACGGGTTTATTTTTCTATGACATGTTCAGAACGGTAGCAGCCTTGACAGATTGTGTAAGCAAATACGTAGTCAGTCAGAATAGCACCAAAGACAATCATACAATAGAAATGAAAACAAAAGTAGTGAAGCGTTTAGAACAGCTAGGTAAATACAAGCAGTAGCTTCAATTTCATTCATGCTATTTCTCATAGTTTCTTCTTCAAAGTCGCAGTGTTTTTATGTATGAGCTTTGCTAATGATCATGGAGCCAGCCCTCTATGTCTTGTGATGTAGGTACATAATCTGCTCTTGATTTGAGATACCGTACTTATCTCATGAAAGTTTACTTTGTTTATGACCGTTTGGGAGTTCAATGATGAGCAAATGGCTTACACGATGAGATTAACAAGACAACACCGGGCAAGGCATTTTGAGAACTGGTAGAGCCGCGACCATAAACCAAGCTTCTTAGTGGTGCGTGGAAATGTGAAATTCCCTCAGTTATCACCCCATCTATTGATGGAATGCATAGTTAACCTCAAGCCCGTGATGTTATCACCTGTGATGACAACTGTAATAAACGTAATCGACAGAAAGAAAATACTAATACGAACCAAATCCATTCAACACAAACATATTTCTCTTTCAGAGAATAAAACACTGTAATAAATCTTATGAAACCTCAAGTACCATTCAAGCATATAGCCTAGTTGTTGTGGGTAAATACGAACGCGATGGCCAGTGAAGGACGCGTCGCCTTCGCCTCGTCATTAGGAATTGATGTATGTAAGCGAATTTCCAATTGAAGACTAGTTTATCTCCATTGAAGTCGATATTGAGTTTTCGCATTAGAATCAGCATCGGATGCGAACGCAGCCGGGATGCCAAGTCTAGCATTAAGTCCACGGAACTCTATTCTCAACGTCACCTGATCAATGAAGTCTACTCCTCACTCCCGAATTCGTGTCTTTTCCGTCAGCTTACGGTGATCATCTCAAGCAGAATGGAAACGCGACGGCATTCTATGCAGTCAGAACTCCTGACTCGAAGAGCGTCACGGCTCGCACGGCGGCTTCGTCCTGTGTTCCATCGAGAAAACAACTCCAAAACGGCAGGAAAGAAGTCTGGAGACAACTCAGTCATCACAGAGATTCTACCCAGAGACTTGATTCTCTGTGTCGCGGACTTTCTGTCACCGGTCGATCTGGCAGCATGGGCTCTCACCAACAAGTGGACGCTGTCCATCATTGGCATGCAAAGCCTAGTGCTACCAAGGCGATCAGAAGAACGACGTGAACTACTGCTCCGACTTGAGAGAGACTGGCAGGACGCTTCGTGCTTCTTCTGCACAAGATGTGTGGCTCTACACCCACCCGAACTGTCGTGGACGATTGCGGCAGACGAAAGGTACCGGGGGGCTTTCGGCGAGTCGCGTCCCTGTCTTCAGCGGTACTCAAAGTCTCGGCCGGAATGGCAACCATCTCCCTGGCTGCCGCGGAGGCTGGACTTCGAGAAGGTCAAGACGGCAATGATCCGCTACCGCTTAGGGGACCTCGGTGAACCCAAGGACCTCTTGCCCAAAGATACGATCTGGCATCCTCACCCCAGCGGTCTCGACGTTCACCATGAAACGAAATTCTTGATTTCGAAAGGAAAAATGCTTCTGTGGACGTGTACGAAGCTATCACCTTACCTGAACTTGAAGAGGAGGCAAGTCGACCTGTCGCAGTTTTTGGAACTTCTCGGGAAGAGCGCAGACCTCTCTCACTGCTGCGCACACGCAACATGGCAACGAAAGTACCCCTTTATATTCAACCCCGGCATCATCGAAACACCAGAATCTGAAAACTTCAAGGCCAAGCTTTGGCGGTCTGCGCAACAAGAAAAGTACTACTCAAAGATCGAAACGTGCGATTTTTGCTACACGAGCTATCACTACGGCATCTACAACAGCGGCCATACCGTAGCACTTATATCTTACAAGGACCTCGGGGAGGGTGAGAGTACAGCAGATCCAAGGTGGAAGTCTCACCAATGGCATGAATCAGAGAACGCATTACCAACAATCGAAAGACAGAGATTGGGCACATCTTGGGGCTGGGGTTGGGCTAAGAAGCGACTCCATTTCAAGTCAGACCTTCAAAGAGCCAAGAAGTGACATCGACGTGTTGTCGACGGGAACACTGGGTCGGCCAATGCCTGGACTCTAGGGGGGAGAGGTCGGCCGGCCTCATGTCAGATGAGTACATCTTTACACGCACTTCACACCAATAATACAGATGATAAATGCCGTATCTTGTCTTTCAATCGACCGCTGTAGTATACGCGTTAACGACACATGAATACCACGCAGTTCCAGGGTCGTTCTTTACGGGCTGCCCGCGTCAGCCTCAACCATTATGAAGGGGTTATCTTCCGTGGAATCCGTGGATACCTTCCAGAAGCAGTTTGGACAGATCTGGCAGGTAAATGATCGTCTGGCAAGTCGACAAATTTAGGTGAATGGCAAGCTTCTTTCCGCCCGCATTCCGGACCAGGGTAGTAATGGCTACGGATCTCCCAATGGGATTCAACGGTAGAGCCGTACGAAAATTCCCCTTTCTAGTATATCCACTTCCATGACAACATCGAGATCAACGCGGTCGGCACTACCGCGCCTCCTGCCGCGAAGCCTCATGGAATAATGCCGGGACATTTGCTGCCAGTTGACTTGTCGCCGCGCAGCGTGCAGCGGGAGCGCCCCTGAACTTACGCGGCCAGGGTTCTTGGCGGCCCGCTCGGTGGAGTCCGGGTGCGGTCCTGGAGCTCCGGACCCCGGTGCACAACGGTAATATCATCTCTGTGATTGGTCGCCTGCTTTCTGGAGTCCCGGGCCTAGGCGCAGGCCTTCGGGATGTGGGAGACACAACTTTTATCTTCCCGACGTCAGTGGAGGTCGCGGACGTGTGGTTCGCGGATTTGTTTGGTTTGAAGCTGATGAGAAAGGGGAGCGACAAAAGCAAAGTCGCGATGAGATGAACCTCTCTGGGGACTGTACAGGGTTATTTTCGGGGCGAAGCAGGGAAGATTTTCTATTCTATTTGGGGAAGGTGTTGAACGTTGAGGATCATGTAGACTTATAAAGACTGATCGCCTTCGCTGTTTGATCAACATTCAGATCATCAGCTGAAATCGGTAGCTTGGCTAGACAGACACTCTCATTCGACGGTCTTTTACACATTCTTTAACACTTGCATTCGTTCTTTAAACAGCTCCACAATATGCAGTTCCAACTCCTCGCCCTTGCCACGGCTCTCTTGACAGGCGTGGCCGTTGCCCACCCCGGCCACGACCACAGCCTTAGCCATTCCGAGATCGCTCGCCGCTCGAACCTTTCCAAGCGCTGTGCGGTTGAGGCTGGAAAGTTCCGCGATGTCCGCAGGAAGCGTGCCGCTGAGAAGCGCTCGCTTGTTAGCCGCTCCCTGGTCCAGCGTGACTCCAACGTCACCATCCACACCGAGGGTCCTCACTACAACACCATTCAGAACGACACATGCGTTCTGACCCCTGAGGTCACCAAGGGTCCCTATGTCTGGCCCCGTTCTCAGACTCTGCGACAGGATATGAGCGAGGGTCAGGCCGGCATCCCTCTCTACCTGGACATTGGCGTCATGAACGTCAACACCTGCGAGACTATGTCCGATGTCTTGGTTGACCTCTGGCATTGCAATGCTGTAAGTTTATACCTAGCTCTTTACGCGACACAAACACGATGTGCTAATACGTATGCGACAGACCGGCTCTTACAGCTCCTTCACCGGCCAGGACCCCAACACCCCCTTCGAGGAGCTCCTTGAGCAGCTCAACGTCACTATCGGCCCCGATCTGGACTTGCACACCGATGACACCACCTGGCTCCGCGGCATGTGGCCTACCGACTCCAACGGTATCATGGAGATGAAGACCGTCTTCCCCGGCTTCTACGTTGAGCGCACGATTGTCAGTAGAACCCTATACACGTCTCGTCCGGACGGAAAGCTAATGGAAGGAAATAGCACATTCACGCTCAGGTTCACACCGACTGGTCCGTCCGCAGCAACGGCACCATCGTCGGCTCCAACATTGCCAACACCGGCCAGATCTTCTTCGACGAGGAGCTCAGCCAGAAGATTGTAAGTTGATTTACCGGAACCCAGTATATCACTTCGTGCTAATACTTTTTCCAGATGGCACTTGAGCCTTACGTTGGCCACACTGAGATCAACCGCACCACCAACGACATCGACAGCATCTTCTCTGCTGAGGTTGTTGGCGGCTGGAACCCGAACATGGTCGTTGAGCCCCTTGACGGCGAGGACGTCACCAAGGGTATGCTTGCTTACATCACTTTGGGTGTTGAGGCATAGAAGATGTCGTCGAACGGAGGCGGACGTAGTGATTCTCGTACATAGACATTCAATGAAATTTTAAATTCAAAAACGTTCCGTCTCGTGTTCCTGTAATACTTGTTTTGTTAGCACAAGTCCCCCCGATAAGTTGAAGGTACCTAGAATGAATCTTCGGGCCTACGTTGGTGAAAGTCTAAAACCTGACTGTTGATGATAAAACAACATTATGCCGAAGTAATACCAAATACTTTCGAAACTCGTTAAGTGATACCAGATAGATATTTCTACCTCTTGTGTCATTCATTTGATCGATCGTGCGGCTTTCCACCAGAGCTCGCGGTCGGCCAGCTACTTCGGTTCGGAGACCCACAATTCGAGGAGCCGACATGTCTCCACATCGGCATCATCAGTATCGGCTCCTCACTTTAGCGTCGGCTCCTCGATTTTGAAATCCGTTTGTCATTGGTCAGATCCAACGCACTTGGTATTTGCGGTTTGGTTGAAACCGGTGTTGTCTGCGGAGGTTTTGCGCGAGTCTAGTTTGTTGCCATGGCTATAAAGGCTGGGTGGAAGGGCTTCCTGCTCTTTTTGAGTTTCAGTAAACTCATCGTGGTCTTTCGCATCTTCTCCGTACTACCTTAGTTGAGCTACTGTCAAGTAAACATGGACAATTTTACCATATCCGATGGTTTCGGGAAACTCCAGTCGACAGACGGCCATGTTTCCATCCTTGTCCTTATCAGCATCACCTCCGTTTTCCTCCTCTCCAAAACCTTTCTCTACCTTCGCAGCCTCTATCGCATCCACTTTCATCCCCTTCGCAGCTTTCCTGGACCAAGGGAAGCAGCCAAGTCAGACAAGTGGCTATACCGTCAGACCAAGTCCATCTACCCAGAGGATACGTATGAGAAACTTCATCGAGACCACCGTGAGTGCATGTTTCTCAGCGGTTGAAAGATGGCCTGATCGTCACATAGCTTTGGGGCTCGAATGGACAGCTAAGATCATTTTCAGAAGCCAAGGCTATCCGCATAGCGCCAAACGAACTTCACATCAACGACCCCAGCCTCTACAAGGTCATCTACAAGCAGTCGAACCCGTTTCCGAAGCACGAAGCATTTTACCTAGGATTCAACCAGCCATTCCCGACACTTTTCACCGAGATCGACGGAGTCAAGCACAAAGAGCGACGCCGTCTGCTGAATCCCCTCTTCTCTCGCGCTGGCGTGCTAAAGTTGGAAGGGCTTGTCTGGGACAGACTACGACTACTGGAGGCGAAGATCGAGCGGTTACGAGAACAGCAAGACATCAACCTCTACGATGCATTCCGGTATGCACATATTCTTGACGGTATTGGGTATCCGTGATAGGCTGACTCAATGATTCTTAGGTTGCTAACGACAACCATCATCATGGAGTTCTGCTTTGCTGACAGTGGTGGCATGCTGGATGAGGAGCCAACCGGATTCAGCTCCAAATTCCTCCGTGCTTTCACGTTCGCTTCAGAGGGAGTCAGCACTCTGCAACATTATCCCTTGTTCCGTGTTGTGAGCAACATGGTGCCAGCGAGCATCTTAAAGACATTGTCCCCGGAAGTCGGAGGCATGATGGAGCTACTTGACGTAAGAATTTCTTTCTCGCAAACAGGCTTAAATTTGCGCCGTGGGCTAACCAAGCGGACGGCTTGTTCAGTTCGCGGAAGCATGCGTCAATCGATGGCGTCAGTCTGAAGCAAAGGCGGCAACTGTCGATCATCCCATTGTCCTCGACCATTTGGAATCTCTCTCAGATGTTGCCTTGGTCAGCGAGGCTCTTGATCTCCTGATAGCCGGATCGGACACCAGCGCGATGTCCCTGACTACAGCTCTCTTTGAAGTTCTACGACATCCCGATATGGAGAAGAGGCTGGTCGACGAACTCGATGCCGCCATTCCGGACAAGAACAACTTTCCTTCAGTTCAAGAACTGGAGAAAATCAGTTACTTGGTAAGTTATCTCTATGATATCACCTGCTCTGAGACTGACATGAACCGCCTTAAGACTGCTTGCGTCAAAGAAGGCATCCGGTTTGCATCGGCAGTGCCTGGCAGACTTCCACGAGTCGTACCTCGCAACGAATCAGACCCCTTCGTGGTGGACGGCAAGATCGTGCCTCCGGGTGTAAGTTGTTCTGGCATTGTAACAGACAACCAATGGGATTTTATCACACTGACACATAATCATCATGGCAGACTATTGTTTCAGTATCGGCGCACACCATGCATTCTAATGTTGAAATTTGGGGCCCTGACGCTCGATGCTTCAACCCGGATCGCTGGCTCAGCCCCGAGGCCAAGAGTCTGGAACAGTACCAGGTCTCATTCAGCAAAGGCGCGAGGATGTGTATTGGGCAGAAGTGAGTCTACGATGATTTCCCATGAGAAACTGATAGCTAATCACGAATTGCCCTTTCAGCCTTGTTCCAATCGAACTGATCATCGTGCTGGCCACGATTTTCCGGAAATACAAGCTGAGCTTCCCTTCCGGCTTCATTCCGCCTCGGAGAGTTGACAACTTCACGATTGAGCTTGAAGGTGGACTTCCCCTGAAGATGACGCCGCGCGCCTAGCCAAGCTGTTACTATGATTCGCCCATGCAGGAACTGAGAACTCAGGCAGAACCGATGGGTTTGCCTAGTTCTTTTGTAGATTATCTGTATCAAATGCTATGATCCGCTCTCTCAACGCTCTTGAGAAAAGCTGGCCAATTTTCCACTCCTTCACTGACTCGAGAACGTCGATTGCTTGTGTCACGACCTTGGAGTAGCCACCAGGCATGTGAATGTCCCCAACTCCGGGAACGAAAGGCCGGGCTTGCTTGCCAGTTCGTACCCATTCGGAAGCTTCTTCTCGATCGATGTCCTCGTCGAGGCGAATCGTCACCACGCTCTGATTTTGAAACCCCTCTCGCCTTTCCAAAGCATATGGCGACAACGAAGTGTTGTACATCCAAAGAGCAAGGCTTGAAATAAGCATCGCAACAGGTTCCTGGTATCCACAGGAAGAATGGCTCTTGCACTCGTGAAACAGTTTTGCAGCATGCAGAGCTATTTCCCTGGCACCATCGCCGTGCTCTGTTGTCCAGCTTAGTAGTCTGCGTATTGTGTCCAGCTGTTTTGAGCGCGCTACTCTCCAGCCGGCGAAAGCATACAGGTCTCTCAAGGGCACACGATTGATGATACTGATCACGTGGTAGTACTGTATCGTCGCAAGCTTGATACGCTTGGCGCCCGTACGTCGACAAGGATCCAAAAGTCGCCATAGATCTGGGTTAGGACGATGCCCCATGTGAGAGATCATCTTACCGTCGACATTTATCACTCCTGACAAGCCCAAATCATTGGCTTGCTTCAGGAAGAGTTGGTCGCGGAAGAATCCAAAAAGAATGAGGAGGAAGGAGAATCCTCCGATTTCTTGTCCAGCTGGATTGAGTCTGTACAATGACTGCATTTCTTCTCTAAGGGTAGGCGATTCAAACTTCTTCGTACCTAGGATTATTGTCAGAATTGCAGTCTTATCAGTGTGATTAACTACTCACGGTCCCATTCTTGCTTCCATGACTCAGCGCAAGGTCTTTCCCACATTCTTTCGTGCGAGGGGAGAGGTGTTTGAAGAGCGGGAGACTCAGTAGGGACGGCTGGCGTATAGTTGAACAACAAGCAGATCTGGCTGTCTATGAGCTAGAAGCTCGTCAGCATGAACGATCACTGCACTTTTCGGGGCGATGTCAACTTACCCAAAGACCGTAGGCCAGGCGCCGTAGGACTTCCCAGTCAACCCACGCTTTCCACAACATTTCGTCGCCGACGTCATTCGCCTCTTCCGCCGCAAGAAAGTCCAATGCAGCTACTTGCAGCGGTGTCTCAAACTTCCTCAACACGTTGTCGAGGATGCCCCTAGATATCTTGGACCTTTCGACCGTAAGTGCCTCATTCGTGAAAGAGGTTGAGATTTGATTCAAGATCACCGCCTGGGCGAGCCACGGCGGCATGGTCTCGCTGGCTTGAAATCTGTCAATCTGTAGAGAATTAGAAAGTCGAACAACAACGCGATACGGCGCAAATCTTACATGATTTTGGACCGAGTTGTCAACCAACTTTACCAAGTCGAGGCCGTCTACACCCTCTACATTCTCCAGGTTCGAGAAGCGATGGCCTACGTTGCTTATGGCAAGAACCAACAGAGAAGGTGCGGTATTCGGATTAAAGGTTGCTCGATGAATGATGGGAAGGGTGTCGTGAAACTCTTCAAAATAGAGTTGTATGAAAGCGTTTAGAGTTTTGCGAGGAGGAAGATGGCAATTATTGACGTTTAACTGCGCGCAGTTCGAGCAAATCCACGACTCGAGATTCTCGAAGGATGCTGTAGACAGCTCCTCGACATGGCCTAGATTTTCCAAGTCGGCTCCTAGACTTTCGGAGTCTTCCGTGAATACGTGCGAATGCTTGTCATTATTGAGGGATTGAAGCTCTAGCGGGATTGAAAACCATGAAGCAGGTGACGTCGTGCTCGTGACTCCTTCGCCTGAGGTTTTCGCAAAGAGACTTATCTCGTCCAAGAACGATGGCCCTGAAAGCTGATCTAGAGCACTGAAGTTGAACCAGTCAAAGGCTGGCAATGCTTCCCACCCTGCGAAAGGGGTGTCTATTGAGTTGAAAGCAATGTCAAGGTTCATACCACATGATAGGTCCGCACTATCCTTAGAGTTTGTGACCGGCTGGTTAATCAGTTCACCATTTCCAGACGGAATTCCTTCCGGTGGCTGGGATGCAGCGTCCAGGAGATCATGAGTATCTACGGTTGGAGCTGCGGATGTTGTCGTGCAACTCTTGAGTCGAGAGGGCTTTATTGAAGTCGTTAGTCATCGGTTCAAACATCTAAGTAACCAAATGTTTCACTAACTCACCTGTCGAGCTCGGCGTGGCAAATACTGGCAGAGTCGATCTTTCTGCAGGCATCGAGAGCAAGGATTCGCTCCATCACAGCGCTGCTTCGAGTTGCGACATGACACGCACGCTTTCTGTCCACGACTTGTCTCCGTGGCGGTGGGCGGTCGGTAACCCGAGGGCAGACTCTGATGCACAAATGCATGACGCTCAAGTGTATCTCTGTCGTTGTCCATCAGTCAACTGATTTGCTGAAATTGGGGCGTAATTTTCTCGTTATTGTATACGCACCTCCTGGAAAACCGTCTGCTGCAGACAGAGCAGACGAAAGGCTTGTTGTCCTGTTCGTGAAGTAAAAGATGTCGCTTCAAGTGATCTTGGCGTCGAAAAGTGGTTCCGCAGATGTGACAATCGCTAGTGGCGACCAGGTGATGCTGGGACGAAGCCATGTTCCCAATCTTTGGGCTCTCTACCGTCGATGGTAACAGTTCCGATATGCCGGGCAACACATTGTAGCAGACCTCATTACTTGGCTCAACGACTCTCCATAGGCGGCCCGGAACCAATGTTTAATGAGATATTGGAAAGAATTACCATTGATGACAGAGGTCGGATGAAGTTGGCGGGAACAAACTTGCCCAAGCTTTCAAAATCTGGGCCGTCCCGCTTTGCATTACCGACGCCCATGTTCGACGGATGTCACTGTTAAGATGGCGAATTACTTTCTTCATGTTTAAAGCCGGATTGAGAGATTTCGCTAACAGCGGGGCATCGATGGGAACGACGCTGGGGACGGACTCGAAAGATCTCCGAGGCCGTGATCTGCATTAGCGCCCGGCACCACGGCCGGCGATTTTAGCCGTGGTGTAATGCACCGTTTCATCATTGAATTGCAGACCAGCTTCGTATTGACTTCGCTGCATACCTAGTCGACATCGAATCATCGTTCAGAATATTACGGGTGATTTTCATCGTTGACGCTTCATGCACTTCTAGCTCAACATAGTCTAGCTACAAACATGCAGTTGTGCCCACTTTCCGCCGATCTCAAACTGCCAGGGATTGTTGCGGCCGAGGGGTCAGGTGAACAAGGAGAGGGTGCTTGTCCCACACGCCGAACGATCGTCCATCGTCCAACCATGTCTTACTAGCCGCTGCAAGCTCGATATCGAAGTTCCAAACGACGCGGGCGAGAAACATTCTCATCTCGACGTATGCCAAACTTGAAAACAGTTAGTCAGGCGATGCCGGGATGTCTTACGGGAGGGGTTTGGTCTTACTTCTTTCCGATGCAGTTGCGCGGGCCAAAAGAAAACACATTCATGCACTCCTTGCGGTCATTGGCGAAGGTCGGATCGTCGAGCCATCTGTTTGGGATGAACTCGTCGGGTCGACTGAAGTTACTGCGGCTGTGATACATGGCCCAGTGAGGAATGGAAAGCACAGTCTGGGAAGTTAGTAGTGCAACCTCCAAGTATTCGGAGGGAAGAGAAACTTACATTGCCCGGGATCTTGTCGCCCAGAACGATGTTTCCCTCGGGTGGCGTGATTCTAGGCAAAGAATTGGGCGCCGGGGGAAAGAATCGGAGAGTTTCCTCCAGAACAGCTTGAAGATACGGCAGTCTGGCGGTGTTGAGAGAGTTGATTTCTGACTCCGACGCAAAGGCCGAGCGAACTTCGTCACTCAGCGTCTTCATGATCTCCGGGTGAGTTGTCAACATGTACATGGCCCCAGAAAGAGCGGTCGCTGTTGTCTCCGATCCTGCGATGATAAGTCCCTCCGAGTTACGGTCCAACTCTTCGCGCGTCAATGTCTGCTTTCATGTTAGAAGCCTCTCTTCTCGGGTATTAAACTGGAGCATGGCGCACTCACCAATCCTCCCTTCCCGGCGGTCATGCCGTGCACAAGATCGAGCCGAGCGTCTTGTAGTTCTAGACGTCTGGAGACTTTCTCTTTCGAGAGTTCCTTGCTCTCAGATGCTTGCTTCACCAACTTGGGCGACACGAAGAAGGGGAGCAACTGTTTCGCGACTGGGAACCGTGCGAGAGCAGATTCGATAGCCGATGTCTTGACGTTGGCGAAGATCAGTTGGACCCAGGGATGCATAGCCGATTGTTGCAGGCACCCGAACGGCTCTCCGAAGGTGAGGTCTCCGATGATATCGAACGTGGCGTAGTTGAACCAGGCGCAGATATCCAACGCGCCCTGGTTGCTGTTTTCGTGAAGACGCTGGATCAACAAGTCGATGTAGCCCTGGATCATTGACTCCTGTTCTCGCAAAGCTGCGGACGAGAATCCGTGGGACATGAGTCGGCGGACGCGGGAATGGTTCGTTCTGTTGAGACCCGTGATGAGAGGCGGAACCGCATAGAAGGCGGCCTTGCCGTTCTCAGCCTCTCCAGACTTACGATGGCCCATGATGGACTGCCAAGCGTCCGGGCCGTTGAATGACAGCTCATTGGGGCCGACACGAACGACAGGGCCATATTTCTCGTGTAAGTCGCGGTTCGTGATGTGGTACAATCCGCCCAAGTATGAGCGAAACCATGGGATCTGAGATGCTGCCCAGAGCTTTGGGCCCGGATACTTTCGAAGAGGATGCAGGTAAATGTTGTAGAGCGGGAGGAGGACAACGAAGTAGATGACTCCCTAAGCAAAGCTCGTTGTCAGTCGTCTTGACTTTGGCACCTCAAGTGCTATAACATACCAAGCTGATCACAGCGGAAATGGCTGTTGCCAAAGGGTGAGAATCAGCGAAACTCGTGAGGCGTGTAGAGGGAAAAGCTGCATCCATGACTGAGCCGAATATGAAGCGTGAAGATCATACAGTCATCAAAATCCATTTCCACCATCGGTTGACCGCTGATTTTTATATTCTTCTGAGTCCATCTCACCGGCTAGGAAGATCGATGTACGACTCAGGAGCCCTGCTTCCAATCAGCGAGACCAGAGTATCATTCGCAACTGGCATACAAGCGAAAGGTTGCTTAACCGAGTCCATTGCAGGTGAAGGTGCACGATGTGCCGTCACGAAGCCTACGTGTATTCTGCGCCGAGGGTTTCAGATACCACATAAATCCCCGTACCGTATTGGAGCAGAGGTATGTTTTCTGTGTCATCATGCATCTCGGGAAGAATGGCGGGTACCACGCGCGGGAGACCTACGGCGTCCGAGTGTAACATGCAATCGGGCTTTCGGCCTATTTGACTCGCGTGGCCCACTAGAAATTTACTGGGCTGATAGCTTCCGCCACATTTCGACGTGAAGTTGATGCTCTTCCGTTCCATGTTTCTTCTCGAGTTGTGTACAGCGTCTGATCAGCACTAACACTATGAGCCCATAGTACTAGGTGATTGAGATTTTTGATTGAATGCCGACCGCATCTAAATAGGTCTGAGTACTCAGATTTCAACGGATAGAGATGTATCTGAGAGAACCGACGACCGATACCTCATAGGAAAGAAAGCCAATCAATCGCTTCAAAATTATATCTCTGCTTACCCGGCAGCAACTCCGAAGCCTCTCGGACTGATAGTGGGAATCCTGCGTTAGCCTCCGTGACGGCTAACTGGAAGGGCCCACTTAACCGGAGCGTCGAGAGGCGCCAGAGCTTGTATCCGAAGGCGCCCGGAACTTGAAACTACGCCGTGAACTTACCATGTTTCCCTAGACATCTCATATAGCATAAATACTCACCGTGTTCTCTTCGCGTGAAAAGTTCAAATCCACTCTGTTTCCCTTCAAGACTTTTTTCAGTTTCCATCTTGGTACGTAAACATGACCGCCGGGAGCTTCTTTCAGGCACTCCTGGCGCCCTGCCACATCATTTCCTACGCCACATTGCTAGGAACCTCTCTCTTCCAGACGTTCGTCAACACCAAGATATGCTACATGGAACTCCCGAGATCCGCATTCACAACTTTACAAAAGCGGCTTTTCCCAATCTACTTTCGATCTCAATCGCTTTTGTTGATTTTGACGGCCCTCACATTTCCTCCGGGAGGTCCCGCCTCGCTACTAAGAGACAAGCGGGACTGGGTTCCTTTCGCCGTGGCCGGCGTCACGGCAGTACTGAACCTCTTACTCTACGGCCCGAGAACGAAACAGGCGATGATTGATCGCATTCATCAAGGTGATTCCAATCAATTGATTATGCGGCAATGAGAGGGAAAAGCTGACAGTTGTGCACAGAAACTCGTGACGCCAAGAATCCCGGAGCCACCGAAGAGGATAGCCCCGACATGCATGCTTGCAAGAGACGATTCTCGCGAAACCATGCAATGAGCATCCACCTCAATTTGGTCACCATTTTCGCTATGGTCTGGTACGGCGTTAGACTTGCTTCTCGACTGGACATCGAGATGGATTAAATGGTTTTCTTGGGGGCTTGGAATGACGAAACTAATAATCACGTCTCAATTGGCCGAGCACCGAATGACGGCGGTAGCATGGGTCGAAAACAAGATTCGCTTATCCACGGACCACACGAAGGAGGGTGTGGCGTCACCACCACAGTTCACTAGGTGCCCAGCTACGCGTGACCACCAGATGACTTCACTTTGGAGGACGAACGGATTTTTTCGTAACCAGAATTTAATCAGGCGGTCTTGCTTCGAATCTAGAAGTAATTACTTTGGCGTGTATGTGTTTGTGTCTTTAAGAACAACTGCCTGACCATAGCGGAAAATTGGTCTTTATTCTTTACAAGTCCCTCGCATCAGCCTAAGCTCTAGTCTCATATCGCAGAATGAGTACCGCTGACTCCGTCATCATCGAACTTCCAGGAGGAAAGATCACCGCAACGTCAAATGGAACTCTGATAAGAGCACGCGGATGTCGCTACGCATCTGCATCCCGTTTCCAACGTCCGAACCCAGTCGATAAGTGGGATGAAGTCGCCGACTGTACCAAGCCTTCACCGATTTGTCCGCAAGATGTGCCCTCTGAGCTGGACTTCATCACGGGCCCTATCACATCCGGACGTGAACAGAGCGAAGATTGTCTTCATCTCTCGGTCACAACAACCACTGATGCACTATCCAATGGTCGCAAGCGTCCGGTGATGGTGTATCTACACGGAGGCGCCTACGTCTCAGGCGGTGCCGACCTGGATTGCTATGAACCATCTGGTCTGGTGGAGCGTGGCGTGGTTGGCGTGAACGTTTCCTATCGACTGGGGATTTTCGGTTTCCAACCCATCCCGGGCGTCGCCCCGGCGAACCTCGGTCTGATGGACCAGATCGAGGCTCTTCGATGGATTCAGAGGAACATATCAGCCTTCGGCGGAGACCCGGACAACGTCACAATCTTCGGGCAGTCTGCGGGAGCGGCTTCCATTCACTGCCTCATGATAGCCGACGGAGCCGAGGGCTTGTTTCACCGGGCGATCCTGCAAAGCCCGCCTCTTGAGCACTGGACGCCCGAACGCGAGAACATGGTCAAAGACTTGGGTGGTTTGGCCTGGGACGAAGTGCACCTCGACACGGGCACCAAGACGTCGGGAGAGATGTTGGCACTCCAGCAGCAGCTGTTTCTCGTGGCTGCGTCGTACGGTTCGGCACACGCGCCGTTCAAACCACTTATGGGACATGAACCGCTCCCAAACCAAGACGATGTAGCTGGGAGAATTCGCCATGCTGCAAAGCGAGTGCCTATCATGATCGGATACACGAAGAATGAAGGGGTTCCATTCGTGAGGTTGAATAAAAGCTTACGTCCGTGGATCGCCGTCGCCTTCATTGGGTGGCTCATCGAGTGGATAGCAGCGTGGTTCGTCGGCAAGGTCTTCAAGTGGCTTATCGACGGCTTTCATGAAGAGTATCGCCAAGCGGGAGGGAGATCAATCCTGTACCGCTTCAACTGGCGCCCCTCTCATAGCTCACTGAGAGCACCTCACTGCATTGAGCTGCCGTTTCTTCTCGGTTCCTGGTCAGCATGGAAAGCTGCTCCGATGATAGGAGGCAATAGCTCTAGAGATACAGTAGAGGAGTTGGGGGCTAGAATGAAAAGCATGTGGGTAGACTTTGCGAGGGGAGATATGGACAAGGGTGCACAGCACTTCACTATCAAAGGGGATGAGGATTATTGGGAAGTTGTTCTTCGCTGATGACGGGATATGAAGGTGGTATATGAAGCGATGGGAAGAACACGCATCAGTTCAGCTGAGCTGACGAACGGGTACGGATTCGGAAGACTTGCATACATGGAGGATTATTGATGTTATTGATCAAATTTCGGCGTTGTCATTTAGTTGTTACTGTCCAGCCGCATAAGATGCTGCTCGTCCTCTAATGTAGTATAAAGTTTTGGTTTATGCTTTGGATGAGTAAATGACTTTTAGCACATCGAGATAACCCGATTTTCAGCTTTGGATATTTAATTTTACATTTGCAAATATGATAGATTGATAATTACTTTTTGAATTGTTTCTATTCTTTTCCTCGCAACGGGTATGGTTCATCACAATTCCTCGGATGGCACTTGTCTACTAATTCCAACTCATTATTCATACTAGATCTTGAACTAATCTGAACTCATGACTCACGGGTCGTAGTAAACCAACGTGTCTTGAGGTCCCTCAGAGCTAATATCGTAGAAATCCTTGCAGTCCGAGAAGGAAATCTTGGGTTGCCCAGAGTAGAAGTCGTCGTACTTGGCATCCAAAGCGTCGTGCAAGTTGGCAACACCTCCCTCGGGATGAAGTTGCTTCCAAGGAAGTCTGCAGCTCTCAGCCTTGCAACTCTTGAGAACCAATAGAAGCGCGTCGAGGCGGTCTTGTACAGCAGACAGAGGTCGGCCCAGAAGCTGACCAGTGGCAGTACCTGCCAGGTTATCCATTTGGCCCGGATCTTTCTGTATACGCTGTTAGCAATTGTGCGGTTCCCATGAATGGTGTGTTCTCTTGCCTTCATGTCGTAGAACTCGCGTTCGTTGCTGCACCAGACGGAGTAGAACAAGCTGTAGCCATCGCCGAGGACACGCATGGCCTTGTACGTGTTGTTCGCAGAAACTGGAAGATGTATGTCAGCTGAAAGCTCTCCTGTGGCAAGCTGGCAAAACTCACCTCCTCCGAAAACATCGTATCCACGCTGGGTACCCCAGAATTCGACGTTGACGTGATCGTGCTTGGGATCATTTTGCGCCTTCGCAATGCCATCGTCCGAGAACGGGATAGGAGAACCGTCAAAGTCCTCACGCAGCGTGATATTGGCAATGGAGAAGATGGTCGGTGCAATATCGGTGTGCGTGGTGACAAATTCGACTGTCTTTCCCTTGGGCACTCCAGGTCCACGGATGAGGAAAGGAACGTTGATGTCTTCCTCGATAGCGCAGGTCTTTCCGGGCTTGAGACGGTGCTGGCCGATGTGGAAACCGTTGTCGGAGGTGAAGATGACGTATGTGTTGTCGAGAACACCTGCCTCCTCAAGACGCTTGAAGACAGCGTCGACCATCTCGTCAACAGACTGCAGCGTTTGGAGACGGCGGCGGTAGTAGTTGTCGCCGTAGGCGATCTCGGAAGCGTTGAGTTGGGGGATAATCAGACCCCAGTTGGCCATGCTGGGCTGTTATGGCATATCAGTCTCGGACCCTCAAAACATAGATTTACAGGATCATCTTACCTTCTCAGGATTGAAGTTGTAAGTTCGGGGCACAGTGACATTGGCAAAGAGGTTCTCATGTCTCTTCGCAGGGATAGGGGGCGTGGCACCGGCGCTGGTTTCGCCGCCAAGACCGTTGTTGTGAGGACCGATGGGAGCAATGCCAACGAAAAATGGCTTGCTGCCGTTGAACTTGAGAGCATCATCCAAGAATCCCAGAGCCCTCTCAGCAACCAGGTCGTTGCTGTACTCGCCGGGGTAGGTCTGGGGAGGGCTGTCGTTTCTCTGGAACGTCGCATTCAGGTACAGATACGTGTTTGGGTCAAGAAGGACTGCCTCAAGACGTCAGCAAGGCCTAGATGTTCAGCAAAACATTACAAACTCACAGTCGCTGCCAGTCCATCCCTTAGGGTGGGGGTCGTTCCAGTTGTCAGTGCTGTGGGCGTTGAAGAGCTTTCCGGTGTAGTAGGTGTTGTAGCCAGCATCCTGAAGCCAGACAGGAAGGTACTTCTCGTTGTAACCCTGAGAAACGAACTTTGGGTAACCGCCTGTGAAAGGTTTCTTAGCTTCTGCTCTATCGTCCATAATTTGATGGGAAATGCATCTTACCGTGAGGAGGGGTGACGTAAGTAACGTTGGTGTTGTGCGCAGCCTGGCCGGTCAACAAGCTGACACGAGACGGGCAGCAAATCGAAATGGTGCAGAAGTGCTTGCGATAGTAGGTTCCTTCCTTCACAAAATGCTTCTGCACAAACGGCATGTAGTCGAGGGAACCAAGCTGTTCGTCCTGGTCATCAGTCAAGATGAAGACGATGTTTGGCTGGCTCTGCTTGATGTTCTGGGCCACAACGGCACTAGCGCTGAGCGCCAGCGTCGCCAGCTTCGAGAAGCTAAGGTTCTGCAACATCATGACTTGTCGGAGCTTTTCTCGCACGAGAGCTGAGAGGTTCACAAGAAGCCAAGAGCAGAAGGGCTGCCCTCAGTCCTCCGTCAGTGACTGGCCGAGACAACTCATTGAATTTTATATGCCGTGCGCTAATTACCTATGACGGCACAGCACACCAATACCCCAACCTCGCAACCCAATTGTCATCTGCTTTTTCTCCAGAATGTCATCTCAAAGGGGACGGAGGCCGATATCACTAGCGGTGGTCCCCGGTGGCTCCGTGGTAATCGATGTGGATCCCCGGCCGGCGGTGTCCCCTCCGCCAGCCAACCGGGTGGACTCCATAGTGGGCTTTATGGATACCGGCGCAATATCAACGGCTGTCGCAATCGGGTCTTTCGATTTCGTCATTCGAACCGCTAACCTAAAGTCACCACGATCACCACTTTTTCAATGGAAACTGAGCCATATTATCGGGTTTGGCTCCAGTTGTAGACAGTAGTTGTCGTGTTGTCGGCTGCTAGGCCAGGGGTAGCGGAGGTCTGCCGACAATGTTCTGGGGCCATATCAAGGCAGTCAAGTCTCTGCTCTCTCTTGAGAATCCCGACTTTTTCTCCGTTTCCCCGCGGTGCAAAATACGGACTTAGTCAGGGTGAAGAGCTACAATTAGCCCATGACGCAATGACTCGTTTTCAAAGAGCTCTATGCGCGCTCACAGAGCATGGCAATCACCGGCTGACTTATGAAATGTCTCTTTAGATTCTGAAGAAACCAGCAGAATAAAAACTGGAGTACATTGACTAAGTCCTTCCCAGGAAATGCTTCATTCCATGTATTCAGACTCGATTGGATAGACGCTAGCATCTATCCGAAGCTCCCCCGGTCCCTACTTCGGGCACCCGATTCCGAAACCAGTGTTCGTATCGCAGCAATCAGCATTCTTCAAACGTTAGCAATTCACATTTTCAACTTCAAGCCGCGGTAGTTACTTACGCAAGTCGCACTGACTTTCGTCTGCGTGCCCGCCTTGTTCACATTCCGGCAGAAGTTGCTCGATTCTCCCGGGCTTCTGCACACGTTTGCGCCGCCGCGTTGCCTCAAGCAGGCATCTTGTCCGTTTGACCCTCCCCAACAGCAATCGCTCTTGAAGTCGGCAATTCGGCACTGTTAAGCTGTTAGTTGCATGTTCGTCAAACAAAGACTTTGGGCTGCTTACAGAAGCCGCGACGGCCTCTTGAGCGGCGGCTGCGAGTGTGAGGAAGATGATGGCGGAGAAACGCATTTTGATTGGCCGGGTTGGTTTTGGTTGACAAATTTTGTTCAAATGAGTTGAGAGTTGTAGGGAAAAGTAATTGACTCTTCAGATCGGAATGGTTGCAAGTCAAGGTGTTGAGTTGTGCCTTGAGATAGACGACATGTTCTGGGCGAGATGGACTTTCTTATAGCCTTGAAGGCCGTCTCTCAGCTCAGATGTTTCTCTAAGACTCAACCCGCGTCCGTATGCTCACTTCATCAGCCTGACAACTGACTCTTGTCTGGTTCAAAAATATTACCGTTCTGAAGCAAGGCCAGCCCCAGGCCACCAAGGTCGACCCACTACTAAGTATTTTGATCTTCAGGCAATTGATGACTTGCCAAGAGCTTCAACTACGGATTTGGATTCTACAGGTAGTCATGAGAAAGACACCTGACTAGAGTATGCTCAATGGACAAAGTGCGCGAGTTACAACTGGCAACCGTGGGAACAAACACCAGCTGATTCCCCTCAGCCACCAAAAAGAAACAAAGCGTTGTTATTCCGAGACGCATAGAATATTTCCAGTTCAACCCTAGAAAGTCATCAAACCCTGGCCATAACGGGGCCTGCTATGCCTCTACACACATAGTCGATAGTCTCATTGGTCATAATATTCGCTACGAGCTGTTTTAACTCTCCGTACGGGGGGTTCTACGCCATCCCATCGACCCAAACAGAAGACTCGGACTTCATCTCCGGTGCCCCCTTGCGCCGATCCAACACCCGTTTGCATAACTGCAAGATTCAGTTACACCGGAGAAAGCCTAGATCTTCTCTTCGTTCGGTCTCGGTTTGTGTAACAGAGTGGGGGCGAAAGGGGGCCTGTGATGCGCCCTCGGTAACCCCCATCCATGTAACGCGGATTATCGGTTTACCAAAGTGGCAATGAGTCGGCGGTTTTGTGTCATCATGATACCAATTGGGATACGATGAAAGCCCAAATCAGAAACCAATTGATCGGTAACGCCGTTGAGCCAGGACCATTGGAGATGCAGGTGGCTGACATCTGAGGCTGATTTTAGGTTTGAGAGGAGGAACGCCCTGGGGTCCCCAGTCATGCAGTGTACACGTGGGAGACGATTAGTTTTGAGTTAGATTGTGATCGCTGGATTCATTAGATACGCTGGCTGAATTGTTTGGTTGTCGTTGTGCCTATAGCTAATCTAGTTTCGGCGATAAACCACAGGAAACAATCTTCGATCACGTCCTCAAGCTACTTGTGGCGAAACTATTCCACAAAGATGCTGTTATTTCCTCTAGTAAATCTCTACCAAAGTCACCTCCTCCGAAATCTTCAACGCAAACAAGAGTGCGAACGAATCGACTCTCGACAGCATATTCATCATGGCCCAACCCTGCCTACGAACCCATGTGGCCCTGCGGGGGATCGAGATCATGTCCAACTCTGAGATGAGACGGGGCTATTTTAAGCGGTGTGAACCAGCCTGCCGGTGTCGAAAGAAGGTCGCATAGATGGGACCTCACCAGACGTCGGCGCGGGTCCCGCGGGGCTAGCTGCCGGTAAACACGGGGGCGCATATGCTTGGCACGGCGAGTTCGGCCGGGGGTTTCAGACGGCGTATTGGGAGGTAACGACAAAGACCGTGTCTAGACCAGAGACGCTATCATTCTGTCCCAATTTCAGTATTTTCATTACTATGCATCTATTCTCGGCTGGTGTTCTCGGCCAGCTGGTGTCGTGCCTTCTTCTCCAGTCCGTCGTCCTGATCCCTGTTTACTAACTCTTGCTCCGCTGGCTACTTCCCAACTCCTCGTCTCTCTTCATCGTTTCATCAAGCTACCATCGAAAGAATCCATGCAATCATCTCATTGAAGCCAAGACAGCTTAAACGTCCCGGCCATACTTTACCGTTCGTCTCGACTAGATCCTCCACCTCCATCTCCCCTCGCCGGATCGACGCCCGTCTCAAATGCCAGATGAACAGCATCCTCCCGGCTACACCTACCTCGTGTGCCATACGACCAGGAAGGTCAAATCTCAGCTTTATGCCAAGCCCAGGATACGCGCAGGGATCGCACATATAGAGAGAAACAAGGCGGGTGAGGTCAGGCGGAGGCCGAGGGCCATCGTCATGCGACCGGTGCTTAAGAGACTTGACCTTCAAAGTAGAGATACAATTGTCCAGTATACTAGCCTATCTCATCGATTGTCTGAAATCTAGAACGGTCTGTGTTGGCCGGCTGAATCGTATGCGTCTCCGCGTTTGGCTTACACTGCCTGCGAGATCGAGCAAGAGTCACCGTCAGACGCGAATCAATCGAAAACTCCGCCATAATTGTCGAAGCCCTGTCGACAATCACCTTGTTGATGAGGGGAAACTGGAGAGCTAATACGGCCATGTCGCTCCCTTGAAGTGCTACTCTCAGATTAGGTCGAGATCACCATCATCGCCTACCTAGAGAATGAAGCGCGTGAAGCGCAAGGCGTTCAAGTACTCAATTGATGATCGCACACAACCACAGATGACTTCATAACACAACTGTACTCAAATTCATTCTACGACCAGGGCATTCCTCATGCCCATCCTCAGCAGACCTTCATCTCTGCCAAAAAACTACTCACTAAACCACTCTATCCCGATACTAATACATCTCTAAAGCAAAGCTCTACCAAACCCCCTTCCGCGTATGGCCTATGTTTACAAAGTTCTCTAATGGAAACATTTTTACACTAGCAGCGAGTTGGGACCGATGCTCTGAACGGCTGGTCGTCTATTCACTCCCGCCAGGATGGAAGGGTGTTTGTCGAAGAAAAAGTTGTTGTTGTGTTTGGGTATCATAGAAGAAATAAAGTTTGCCGGTGAAGAGAAGGAGGCATTAATCATTATGTATGCGTTTGGCGATGCAAGTGTGTTTTCTTAAGAGAGTCGCGTGTTCGGAATCCGGGTGCTGATGATGCTTATTCCCTTCTTCCCAGGTGTACAGGTGTTGTTCCCCATTTGGTCCCGAGCGACGAGAATGTGTTTTGTGTGTTTTGACACGGAGTGGATTTGTGTTTGTATCTGAAAATTTGAATTTCGGTCTTCCCCCTTGTGACCAGTCGTGCAAAATGTGCAAAGTAAATAATAGAAGCAGTGTAATGAGTGTTTCGTCGCGAAGTTGGGTGGTCCTCCTTTGCCCATGCTGTGCCGCGTGTCGTCGTATCGACCCAAATAATCTGTCTTTCCTCTTTCGCAAAACAAAACTCTCTCCCTAGTCGATTATCATCCGCCGCCTCGTTGGATCTCTCGTCTTGTTGCTCCCGCCTCAGAAGCGGAGACTACCCTAACGTCTCTGCCTCTTCTCGCGATCGTTCAGACCGGCGGCGTCTTCACTTCTGCGCTTCCGACCCCGCTCCTCTCGTGGTTCGCGTCGGTCGTCGTTCTGTCTCGATCCGCCGTCTCGCTGTCCACCTCTAGGTCCACCGCGCGTGCTTCCACCCCATTCCTCGTTTCTTCCTCCTGAGCCGGCTTCTCCACGGCCTCCATCACCACGATCACCCCGATGGCGTTGCTCACGCCCGTTACCACCTCCTATGCTTTCACGACTGCTGCCGTGAGCGTTGTTGGAATGGGACTCCCTAGTGCTGCCAGACGGCTCACGTCCCGACCGTCTCGGCTCACGCTCCTCCCGGGTGCTCGAAGAATGATCCTGTGCCCCGGATTTCCGGTCTCTGTACTCACGCGGCTCCTTCGGCTCTCTCTCGCGTCCTGCGCTACGCTCTCGCTCACGGCTGCCTCGTCTTGATTGGCGTCCACGATCCGAACGATGCTCCCTCCGACTACGTTCATGTTCGTTCCGTGAGTGATCGTCTCCGTTAGGCTGACTGCGATCTTGTCGGATTGGATCAGGGCGTTCTTGAGTTGGTGTAGTCATCGGAGACGCGCCAGTCAAAACCTGAGCGTCAGAACCCATGATGCTACCACGGGCTGCTCCACGTCCCCTAATCGTTGTGCCTCGGTTGCTTTCCGGCATGTTGGCTTGTGCTTGCTGCAACGTGCTGTTGATACCTGCAAGCTGTCTCCGACTGCCGCCACTTCGACCTCTATCAGTCGAAGCGGGCCCAGAAGGCGCGCCATCGGTAGGGCCTGGGAATGGGCCAGTGGGTGTTTGGCTGTTTCTACCAGATCCTCCCGAAGGTCGGTCAGGAGTGTTGATGGGCGGCAAAGGTGGGCGGGAGTGGCCATGGTTAGCAGGTTGTGCCGGGGGAGGGGGAGGAGGAGGAGGCGCGATCTGGGCCAGACGATCAGGATGGACGCCTGTAGCCGGTGGGCCTCCAGGAGTCTGCGAAGGCGAGGCAGCTGGGCCTTGGTTCAAGGTCCTGCCACGGTCAGGATGGGGCGCAGGCGTGGGAGTTGCTGTCGTAGGCGAGTTAACGGACTGGTTAGGGGCATTCTGGTTCCTACGCCCTCTGCCCGAAGCCGGTCCGGTTGGTGGGTGCCTTTCGTCTGGCTGCGCCGGGCTGTCAGTCGGTGGGAAGCGCCCGTCTGATCGCGAGTTCGGAGGGTTCATAGGGCCTCCTCTTGCAGCTGTTCGTCCACGGCCGCGTGGTCCCGAGGGAGGTTCGTTCGTGAGCACAGACTGAATGGGATTCAGGCGGCCATAATTCTGATCCTGTCGGTTGTGGTCCGCTTCCGCGCCCCTGCTAGGGCCGAGAAATGCATCTCTTCCTTTGTCACCTTCGCGATCGCTGGCGCGATCATTGCGGGGATTTGGAGCCGGAGATTCGTTGTGTGCCTCTCTTGCTGAAGATCGGTGGTCGGAATGGTGGGAGCGGCCGTGGCGGTCATCTCTTCCAGCATCAGGAGTTTCCGGGTTGAAACGTCCGCTTCTTCTCGGCGAGTGTCCGCGAGGCGTGCCCCTATCTCTGGGCTCATCGCGTGCCGGGCGAGATGGGGGTTCCGGTCGGGTCGTCTCGCCAATCAAAGCAGCACGCTCCGGATTGATTATGTCTGGACGGTCCACTTCGCCTCCACGCGGTCCTCTTCCACTGCGGCGGTCTGTCTCGGATGACCTCGGAGGCCTGTCTGAACGGCTAGGCCTCTCGGGCTGATCACCCTGGATTAGGGCGAGTCTTGCGGAGTTAATAGGCGGTTCCTCTTGCGGTGGCTGCGCTGCTTGGGGTGGCGGCGTTGAAGTTGCTGTTTCCCGAGAGAGACGGCCAGGTTCTGGTGCACGTCCGTTGCTTGGAGCTTGTCTGTCTCGCGGGGCACGAGGTTCACGCTCATGAGCTCCGTGATCACGACGTTGAGGCTCTTGCCTTGCAGGCCAGTCCTTCTCAGACGAGCGACCCGCATCTCTCATCGGGATGTCTGCTCCGCGTCGGTCCTGGTTGGCAAATTCGCGTCCGCGCTCAGGGCGAGCAGGCTCAGGGAATCTAGGGTCGCGAGGTTCTCTCTGGTCCCTGTGGTCCCGGGGCTCGCGAGCGTCTCTGGCATCTCTAGGGCCACGAGGTTCGCGAGCATCCCGTTGATCACGGCGTTCCGGCAGACTGTCGGGAGTGAAGTGGTTGCGGTAGTGACCTGGGATAGGAACGTCCGGCCTTTTAGGCAAACTGTGCGAGTTTCTGTCGGAAGGCGCGCTCGAGGGTGCCGGCTTTGACGACTCTCTCTGGTTCGAGTGATTCGCTGCAGGAGTACTGACTGCAGGTTTCGGCGTTGATGGTTTGCTCGACGCAGCAGAAGTGGCCGCAGGGGTGGCGCCTGATTTGGCAGACTCCCTCTGAGCAGCAGATGGTTTAGGGGGAAGGTTGGGTTCCTTTTGATTAGACGTAGCAGGCGCTGTCGGAGCTGACGGTCGAGACTCGGTATCCTTGCCGTCTCTGACTTCGCCATCTTCCTGTTCTGCTGCACTCTTGGCTGGACCAGGCTTGAATTCGGCGGCGGTCGCACGAAGACCGGTTGATTCGCCATCCCTGGCCTTTCCTTGGGCTTGTCCATTCTGAATGGATGTTAGCGCAGTCGACTTCTGGTTTGAATTCTTTCTACTAACCATGTTTGGACGGAAACCTGCCGGCAGCACCCATTTCGCCTTTCTCCGCTGTAGTTCGGACAGTGCACCTTGAGCAGCGACCGAAAGATCCACGCGATGGCCTTCCTCCCCAGCAGTTGCAGTCTTTGAGGCCGCCTCACGATCGGTAATAGTCTTGAGCTGCTCGATGAACTGGTTGCCCATGAATGTAACCGCTGGGAAGAATTCGAGCACAGCCTTGAGAACAGTCATGGCATTGCGGATGTGCATCCACTCCATGCCGCCAAGACAGGACTTCAGTGCCAGGTTGAGTTTGTTATGCCATCCGTACAGAATATCCCGGAACTGCGAATGGTCGTAATACGCCGTTGGCTGTCCGTTCGCGTCAAACTCAGATGCGAATCCGAGAAGGTTACTGCGCTTGCCGACGGCTTCTCTTTCAAAGGCATTGGTGTCCCGGTGCCATTTCGCAAGATCCTTCAGAATGCAGTTGAGGAACCTGCCGAGATGTTCGGCTTCGCGGACCGTACAGGTGAAGATCATCGACCGCAGTCGGTTGACGCTGAAAATCCGGTCATAGACCGCCTTCAATCGGAAGTTGGGGGCGCCGAAAGTGTGGATTTTCCGAATGAAGGCGTAACAGTACTCGGCGTCGCTAGCGGAGAGAACCAGCCGGGGAAGTAAACACTGTTCGAGGATCGCATCCGAGATACCGTTCAACTTAGTGACCGATCCTGTGAACCACGTGTCCATTTGATCTGACATGTAGTCTCGAACGACCCGCGCCCTCTTCATCTGCAAGTCCGCCTCCTTAGGAAGCTCGTTGCCAATCTTTTGTAGCTCGGCCTTCTTAGCTTCTTTCTTCGTGATGCCGCTCCGGCTCATGTCGGAACGGTCTCTGTTGAGGTCCTTCTGCAAGTTCGCGATTCGCTTGTGGGCCATGTTGTAACTAGCCGCTGGCACCTCGACATCGCCAAGCTGCAAAGCCCAGAAAAGAACAAAGAACTGCGCGCTGAGTTTTCCCCAGTAGGAATCGGGCGTAATGGACTGAATCGACGCAACAAGAGGTTCCAGAGCCTCGTGGATCTGGCGCATGGCCTCCTTCTTCGCCTTCTCTCGGATCTCTTGCGGCGTCAATATCTTTTCTCCAGCTTCGGTAACCTCTCCAGTGGTCTCGGCAGCTTCGGCAGGCTCGGTTTCACTCTGGCCCATGGACACGTCCCCGTCGGTGTCGGTGATGGCTGTCGTGGCATCTTCCTTCTTCGCGAACATCTTGTGGGAGATGCTCTCTCGGCCAATGAGGAAAGCTAGGCTCGCATCGAGACCAAACTCGCTCATGAGGCTCGCGATGGCAGGAACAAGCGAATCGAACTGCTGAGGCTCCAAGTTGGTTCTCAGAAGGTCGAGATACTGGACGAGGATCTGATGACTGTCGTCAATGACGGAACCGATGTACTTGATGTGGGCCTCGTCGTCCGGAAGTTTGTAAATGGCAGATTGTCGGTATTGGGCAACGTTGATCAGGATACGTCCAGCAAGCTTCGACTCGGTCAATGATTGCATCAGGCGCTTGGCGCTGCGTCCTGATTCGAAGCGTTTGTCCTGGAGGCCAAGCAGGGTCTGTCGACGCAAGACTTCTCCTCCTGACATTGCCAGGATCTGCTCGTCGGTGAAGTCGAAGACTTGAACGACACCTCCCATGGAAGTGACGAGCTCCTTGAGAATGATGAGATCTGTCGAGTTGCCTTGGAATAGCTGGTTGTTGACATATTGAAGGATGGGGGTCGGGTCCAGAATGGAGTATCGCTTGAAGACCTTGCCAGCAAACTTCGACAGAGCCTGGAGCCATTTACTGGTCAAGAGGATCGAGGACTCTTGCGTGCGGCTTCGTTGTTTGCCACCAAGGGAGCTCATCAAGGACCACACCAAGACGTCGTATGCCAAGTCAGTGAAGTACTTTGCACACTCAACAAAGGCCTCGATGAGGTTGGCGTAAGACTCGATCTGACTCAGGGCTTCCTTGAAGACGATACCAGGCGAAGAGTAACTCGTCTTGGCTAGAGACTTGGCCATCTCGCTGAGATTCGTCAGTGAGATACGCTTCATCACACCTCTGGTCTCGACGCGGGTTCGGTTAAAGGCTGCCTTCATGGCCGGCAGTCTCGAGATTTGTCCCTCGAACCATTCGGCATAGATCGAGTACCGGGTTGTGACAGGGTAGAGCTTGAGTAGGTCCCAGATGGAGTTGACGACGGCCGCGTTGGCTGTAGTCATGCTGAGAGCGGGAACAAGAATGCGTCGAAGCAGGTCCTGCCAGCGGTCGAGGTTTTGCTGAGACTGGTCTTCTCCGAGACTCTTGGCTCCGATGCTGATGAGCTTGGCCAACAAGGCGGGGTCTTTGCCAATGTTGACACCAGAGACATTCAACAACGTGTCGCATAGAGTAAAAACATCTTCAACAGTCTGACAAACAGGGACGTTGTCGGCCCACTCATCCCAGTAAAAACGGTAGTGCTGGTCTCTCCCATCGAATCCGTCAGGGAATGGCCAACGCATAGACTTCTTGGAGGGCGTGCTCGCGAGCTTGATAGTGCCCTTGGGGACGCCGCTCTGGTCAAGGTCGGCGATCGACTTCGGGGGGCATTCGGCGGGGCAAGTAGGTGTGGGGCGGCTTTCCTGGTAAACTTTCTCGATGCTGTGGTTGAGAATGCGATGGACGCGGTCGAGGATTTCGGGGAAAGCCTCCGGGAGCCAGGGGAAGCGGCCGAGAATGAAGAGGGACTCCGGGATGGCGCCGATCGTCAGCAGGCAGATGAGCAACGCCGCCTTCTGCTCCATAGGTTCCGGAAGCTTCTCCTTCTCATCCACGCCGGCATCGGTTTTGGCGTCCGCGTCGGCCTTGCCTGCGGCATCTCGCGTACGGGTGTTGGGCAAGGGAGCTGTATCGTCCGGCAGAGCACCAGCCATGAGCAATGCGTTCTGCGCAGCGCCAGGTCGACTCTGCCTCTCCTTCTCTTCCAACTCTTTCATGCGCTTCTCCCTGAGTGCGTCCATGTCGCCGTCGAGGGGCCAGAGGTGGGGATAAATGTCCACGAGTGACATGAACCCAACCTTGATGAGAAGTGCGACAAGGTACAGCAAGTTGGCCGGCAGCACATCGTCGACATCCCGGGCATCCGAGGAGTAGAATCGCAGCTTGAAGCCAAGGAGCTGGGCTGCGGTGCGGTTGCCCTGAGGGGGAAGCGTCTTTGTTGCCTTCATCCACGCCGACGCGGCAGTAACTTCGGCTTCGGTGGTAGACTCCGACACTTCCAACGATTTGAGGTAGTCACCGGTGACTTCTCTACCTCCGAGTTGGAAGAAGGCATCCAAGTGGACATCGCGCGCCCTGTTCCAAAACTCAACATCTCGCTGGCGTCTTAGCTCGGCCGTCTCAATCTCGGACTCGTCGCTGGACATCCAATGTGACGAGTCGGGCAGAGCCCAACTGGGTAGGCCGCCCGCGTAAACCGTTGACCCCGGGGTTTGGTTCCTAGGCCACCAGGAGCTGACGCGGAGCAGCTTAATGAAGAACCGGAACTGTTTGATGAGTACAGCTGCGAAGACATCAAGCGTAACATCCAGGACACGTCCGACGTCGAGATCGAAGGTTCCAATAAGACCCTTGAGGCGCTCGAATGCGGCATGGGCTGCCTCGGCGGTAGGCGGTTCCGAGCTGCTGGTTGTGAAAAGCTCCGTCATCAGTTTCGAGTAACCCTCTGATTCCTCGCGCAATAAGTTGTAGTTTGCTTGTCGGTACAGAAGGTTGGTGGCGTGACGGATTCCGAGTTTGACGAACGTGGTGCGGATAAGGCCGAGGTCCTGCAGGAGCTGGGCATCGAGGGTCTGTCGCAGAAGCGCCGGAGCGAGACCGGTGCTCTGGATGAAGTCGCGGAGCTGCGGCTTGAACAGACCGCGATCGTTATCGAAGATGATGGACAGCGTGTCGAGGAAGAGAGTATGAGGCTCGAACGAAAATGATTCCTTAATCATTTCATGCGATTCCGAGCCAAGTATCTCTTTCATGCACGCGCCAGCGTCGGACGGCGACAGTCGGCCGTCCAAGACCGCATGGATGAACTCTTGGAATATGCTAGTCAGCTCTTCGATATCGACATCAGCCTTCGACTGCACGGCATGATCTACAAGTTGCTGTCGGCCACCGGTTGTCCATGACGTGATCGTTTCGTCGTTGATATGCTCATAGCAGTACTTTCTCGGTACCGGAGACGGCGGGTGGGATATCGGGGCAGTAGGCTGATCCGTCGCGATCGGAGGCGGCTGTTGCGACTGCGACGGCGCGGAAGGCGGGCGGGCTACAGTCGGGGAGGTGACGCGGGAGGCGCTCGCAGAGCTCGTCGCCGGCTGCTGTTGTTGCGACTGCTGACCTTGACCCTGTGCTGAATCGCGGCGGTCGTTTCTCCTAGTGTTCCTACCACTGCGACCGCCTCTTCCACCACCCTCGGAGAAGTCTCTTTCGCGTTGGCCCATGGCCGTATCTCCAGGCCGGTGAGGAGAGGGCCTGCTTCCCTCGTTGGCGAGGCCACCGCGAGCCTTGCGCTTCGGCGGCATCGTGCTCTCGGTCTCGGATCGTTCAGGGTATCATTGGAGACGCGAGCGGTTCGTGTGTGTGTCTCCTGTCGACATGTCTGGTCAGCGGGTGTCGATCGTTTGCGCGCAGCTGGCGGGGAGAAAAAGTACCAGATGGAGGATGGAGCTCGTCGCGTGTAGCTTGATGGAAGGGAATGACGTGCACAAAGGAAATGAAAAACAGACACTATCGCGTCTTGGCGACAGAAACACTGATTCAGGCGATGACGGGATTCCGTATGATGGAGTAATGTGTCGGCCCTTTGGAGTTGGGTGACTTGTTGGGGGGGGTTTGGCGGCGGAATGGAGAGGATGGACGATTTCTCGCGTGAACAGGCAGGTGCTGCAATCCGGCAGGAGCAGAGAGCTTCAGATCCACTCAGTCCTGCAAGCGGGTAGCAGCCTCACGGATGGGCAAGGCTGTCGGTCCAGTGGTCGGGTCTGGGGCTCCGTGTGGGTGGGGCCACGAATTTCTGTACCGGTTCGCCGCATGTATCGGTTACTTGCAAGTTTGCGGGGGTGCCTCTAAAACGTGCGGTCGCGAGGACCTGCAGCTAGAAATCGCAGGTGCTGGGCTCCGACGGGATGGCCACCAGCTGACTCATCAACCCCGCGCAGCCAATGAATCGCGACCGAAAAAAAAGTGGCCCGTACTCAAGTGGCCCGGAGCGATTACGCCATTTTCGGGGCACGTCTTTGGCTTCTTCTCACTGAAAATCGACCAGTTAAGAGTCACACTTGACAAGACCAAACCCCAGATTCTTCATATATCTCGCATATCTCGCCATCGCGGAGGGGTCCCAGGTCTCCAGAAACCTTGCCCTTGTCAAACAGCAGCTCGCAGCTTCTTTTTACATCATCAATTGAACGGCGCAGCCACTGAATCGCAAAAGCAGCCGTTGCCCCTCGTCGGTTCCGAGATCGGGATGACTGCACAAAATTTACAGAACGGCTCGCAGCCGAGATACGGTCAGTATAACCTCAACTCCAGCGCGTCAGCACGTCTTCGATCATAGTCTCTTTCCTCAATGGTACATGACGACTCATGAACCAAGTGGTTTACAATGTCCCCTGGCCCTTCCATATACTTCATCCCCGCACGTAAACGTTCGCGTAAGAAGACCGGTGACTGAATACCTGTAAGAAAGAACCCAGACGCAGCCTGAGAACCCGTTCGCTGCCTTGATTCCCGACCAGCAATTCGCCATCATCCCCTCGTTCACCCTCGAGTCCGGCGTCACCCTCCAAAATGTCCCCGTCGCGTACACCACGCGCGGCAAGCTCTCGCCCAACGGCGACAACGCCATGGTAATCTGCCACGCCTTGACCGGCAGCGCAGACGTCAGCGACTGGTGGGGCCCTCTTCTTGGAGGACCCGGAAGGGCGTTCGACACCTCGAGGTTCTTCATCGTGTGCATGAACAGTCTCGGTAGTCCGTACGGCACCGCCAGCCCAGTCACCGCCAAGGACGGCGACCCGTCCAAGGGTAGATACGGACCGGAGTTCCCGTTGACGACGATTCGCGACGATGTACAGTGAGTCAGACTTGTTCTTGTGCCGTAACACGGATACTGACGAAAGGCTTCCAGGCTTCACAAGCTGTTGTTGGATGAGCTCGGAGTCAAGCAAATCGCCGCCGTCATTGGTGGATCTCTCGGCGGCATGTTCGTGCTGGAGTGGTCATACTTTGGCAAGGACTACATTCGTTGCATCGTGCCCATTGCGACATCGAGCAGACACAGCGCGTGGGGTATCAGCTGGGGCGAGGCGCAAAGGCAGAGCATCTACGCTGACCCGAAGTACGATGACGGCTATTACTCATTCGACGACCCGCCGTCAACCGGCCTCGGCGCCGCCCGCATGTCCGCACTCCTGACCTACCGTAGCCGCAACTCGTTCGAGTCTCGGTTCGGACGTAACACTCCGGACCCCTCGAGGCGGCAGATCATCCGGGAGAAGCCCAGACCTAGCACGCCGTCCGAAGCTCACTTCCACATTCATAACGACGGCCACAATGTCAAGCGGGTTACACTGTCGCGGCAAAACAGCCAGGGAGGCACGGTGGAGACGCCTGTGAACGGCGCGACGGCTGACGCGGTTACCGAGTCCCTTGACCCCCAGTTCCATGGGCCTCAGACGGAAAGCTTGACGGGCGGCGACAAACTCCCGACGTCAACCTACTTCTCCGCGCAGTCGTACCTCCGGTATCAGGGACAGAAGTTCGTCAAGAGGTTCGACAGCAACTGCTACATCGCCATGACGAGGAAGCTGGACACCCACGACGTTTCCCGCGATCGTGCCGCAACTATCAGTGAGGCCCTGGCCCTCATCGAACAGCCCACCCTGGTCCTGGGTATCGAGAGCGACGGCCTCTTTACATTCGCCGAGCAGCAAGAAATTGCCGAGCACGTCAAGAACGCCAGACTGGAGCGAATCGACAGCCCCGAGGGTCATGACGCCTTCCTGCTGCAGTTCGAGCAGGTCAACCACTACGTACTCGACTTCTTGAAGGAGACTTTGCCCGATATCATGAGCAAGAAGGGAGAGGAGGTCGAAGAGGTTGGTGTTGGCCAGCTGACTAAGAGCAGCACGTTCGGTGAGGCGGAGGTGGACGACATTACCGCCTGGTAGCTGCGTCTAAACAACTCTGCTGTCAGCCCAGTGGAGTTTTTCGGGATTTGTTTTGTTTCAACAGGCCTGGTTTCTTTCAACAAGTCAGCGATCATGGAAATAGACGGTGTAAAAATGGAATCGGTTTATGCAGATGCTGTGTCAGCGAGTCTAGGCCGAGTCGGATATGACGTGTCAGTGTAGAGCCTCAGGAAAGGCGGGACGAGTACCCGTGGACAGTCTCTTGCTCTTCGGAAGCGATGCAAAGAACCTTAAGAGCGATGCAAAGAACCTTAAGGTTGGACATGAAGCCCAGAGGTCCAGATCGCCGCCGGCTCATATCGTAGCGCAGTCAACCGGACGCGTCAAGCTCAGACGCGGAGCTTATTGAACTGTTGCAGGGCAGAATCGGTGGGACACCGTGTGGCCGACGCAACTAATACCGTCCGGACGAACGAAGTGGCACAAGTGTATCAACTCGAACTGCTTTGGAGCGAGACACCAACTTTGTTCTTCCGTCATTCATTTTGGTGTGTGGTTGCCTTTTGGCGCCCGCAATCGCTCGCTCCCGTGAAGGGGTGTTGAGATTGCTTTTGCCTGCGGGTCAGTCCAGATCAACAGACTGTCGGGTGCTTCCTGAACTTATTCTGGTCTCACACCGCCGGTAAGGTAAGCAGAAGATGGAGAATCTCCGGTCCATAGCAGCGATGTCCTCAGCACCACTTGGAGGCTAGAGTGAGGTCAGGTCAGAAGATGACTCGCCAATCAGCCGACATGAACGGCGAAACAAAATTTAATCGTAAGCAAAGACCACGAGGTTGCCTTCGTCCCCAAGTATAACGGTGCGGAGATATGTCGCATGAAAACGTTTAACGTCAGTCGGCGTTAAGCACGACTCGACATTCCGCCTCCTAATGCTTAACCGGTGATTGACCGGCTGGCAGCACCAGGCAGCATATGACTGCCGGTGAGCAGTAAATAATCGGCAGAATGGCGGCCCCTCTCCTCCAGTCACCGGAGAAGCATCGGCTTCGCGGTCCCACGTGTTAAAGAATACCCCTGCGATTGGCTCGGGGAATCCTTGTCGACGGTCTGTCGGCCCCTCCTCGCTCGGTGAAGAGCCAAGCGGCAAGCAGACGCATTGGCAGATCTGGAGACTGTGGGGGTTCAATCTGGTCCTGTCATCAGCAAGGCGGACGGGAAGACCTGGAGAGGAAGAAGTGTGCTGGCAGATTGTGGAGGTATAACAATGGAATTGTCAATAAGCGATGGTGTCTCGTGAGATGTCTTGTCTCGGTAGAGTCGGACGAGCATAGAGGGCCAACCAGGTGTTGGACGAAAACGAAGTGTGTGTTTTCAACGTGTTTTATCCAACACGACAATCTCAGAAAGAAGAGAAGAACGGCTCTGGCTTTGGAGGGGTGACACGCACCCAATCGGGACAGATCTGCTGATGGCCTGCGTCAAGAAGGTTCCGTGTGGCTAGCATTCCAGCGGCCTTCTAGAAGGACCACCCCTGCTGTTCCGAGTGTGACCTGCAGTGGAGAGGAACCACCGCATGAAGGGCATTTTTCGGTGTCCCTGCCGGCCCTGCGGATGGATTTCTGGAGGAGGATGTGAAATGCAAAGAAATGCACAAGAAAGCACCACAATTCAATTGGAAAGATGTACTGCTGAGTGGATCGGCTGTGGAAGGAGGTCGTTCCGCCTGGTCTCCCGTCTCGTGCCTGCCCTGCCTTTTTCTTGCGAACTGACGCTGACGCTGACGCGGATGCCTCTTTTCCCCTGGCAGCCAACTCGCAATTGCCTTTTCCCAGCGTCCGGATGCGAAGAATGAAGCAGACCTTAATCAACTTAACATTAATTAAGATGCGAACTGACGCAACTCAAGGCAAGAGCGAGCTAAGGTAGATGTTCTCAGACCCAAGGCCAGGTGTCTGTGACAGTTTGGCAACTGCCCGTCCCGTCCATTCTTTCCAGCCAGTCCTTCCGCCCGCCATGTCTACGTACTTCAGCCACACCTCGCCCTAAGTGACCAACAGTTGGCCCTCGCATCACATCTGTCCGATCCCATGAAGAAAAAAAGAAAGCGTATCGTTAACCAAAGCTTGTCCCTCCGTACCGATGCCGATACGCCAGGGCCATCTTACGATACAGATGCGATTCAACTTGGGATGCCAATACGGAGTCAGCTGTCCTTCGTCAAGCAGCCCTGTCAAGAAGCGGCATTCCCCTGGTAGAAGAGAGCACGTCGCCAACACGTGGTCCGGCAATCATTATAGCCTTGGCTGACTTGGCTAAAAGTTGCGCCATTTCGGCGGTTGAATTCTCGTTACCGTTATCCACGACGCCGACGGCCGCTGAGCGAGCATCTACGCGGCTTTTGATTGTTTCTTGTTCGTCTCTTGAACATTTCCTGACAGAGAAAGAGAAAAGTCTATCTGCCGCATCATTCCATGTTTCTCCATCTAGCGCAATAAGTTGAGACATTTCTCCCTTCGGGATCGGACTTTTCCCTTCCCAAAACGACTGCATACTTTCAGATTTCCGACGCACTCATCCTTATTTTTTTAGACTCTGAGGCTCCTCCCCGTTTCTGGACCGTGTGCCCCTTAACCCCGATCTGGGAAAGGCGTTTGGAAATATCACCATCTACAACCTTGCGAACCACCATCTTCGACGACTGGATTGCCGCTTCTTCTTCTAGCTTACGGAGCTGCTTCACGGGCTGCAAACTCAACATCTGGTACGGATACGGCCTCCTCAAACATTTCTGCTGAGCACAGGGCCATCACTTACACGGACACAATGTTCCCCGTCCCATTCCACCCATCCAATCGGTCACTTCGCGGACCTCGCCCCCCTTACCCCTGGACCAGGCATCCCCTTGCCATCGTCCTGCCTTGCCGTCCCCCTGTCGCCCACGTTCAGCCCCTCGCCCGCCCCATGAAGAGTACCGTTACGAAGGTCCTGCAGAGACGGATCGAGCGGGACGCATGTGGTGGCATGCAGAGAGGCGGCCCTTGGTTCTGTGCCATATTCCCTTTAACACTCACACACCCCCCTTACGTCCGCACACCTTTTGAGCCGCCTAAACTCTGACCCTGATCATCGACGCCCAGAAATCTTAGCCGCAACGTCTTGTCCCTCCATCGTGAAAAGCCGTCCATTATCTCCGCGAGAACTACTTCGAGCCGATCGATCTACTTCACACGACGACTATTTCGACTTGAGCTGGGGAAGATTCAAGAGTGAAGGGAAAGCTTTGGTACACGAACACTTTCGAATTCCACCATGGCCGCCGCGCCATCGACCGCGTTATAGACCGGGCTACATTGCCATTGTGAACACTCGCCATACACGCTGGAGCATTCGACCGCTAGACCGTCGACAATGTCGACAGTGGATGACATGTTGCCGCCGCCGATGACCCCCACCGAGCGCGGGGGGTATCGGCGGACCTACGGAGGCAACAACGCCTTTCACAACTTTTACAACGATTATTCTCACATTTCAGACCCCGGACTACGGAGACGATTGGCGCTGAGCGAAATTGACAAGGTCCCATTTGGCTTTTACCGTGAGTTGCCGCTTCCGAGCCCAGCGCTGGATTCGGGACAGCACTGATTAGTTGAGCCGTAGACGTCCGAGCGATTTTGGTAGCAGGAGTTGGTTTCTTCCTCGACTCGTATGACATTTTCGCAATCAACCTGATCGTCACCTTGCTCGGCGTTGTGTTTTGGCAAGGAGGCCCCGATCAAGTTTCCCATGGTTACGGCGGCAACAATGGCGAACTACCAGCCTCAGTGAACTCGGCCTTGAAGGCTTCGACGAGCGCTGGAATCATCATCGGCCAGCTGGTGTTCGGCTGGTTTGCCGATGTGTTTGGCAGACGAAAGATGTACGGGGTGGAGCTTGGCATTATCATTTTGGCAACGTTGAGTGCCGCACTTGTGTCACCGAGCCAGTCCGTCAGTTTCACGGGGCTCATGATTTTCTGGAGAGTCATCATGGTAAGAACTCTACGGGTGAGTTCTCGAATTGATTGCTAACAAGACCTAGGGCGTGGGTATTGGTGGCGACTATCCCCTTAGCTCAGTTATCACATCGGAGTGCGTTACCCCCCGTCATCGCGACTGTTGTCCAGGAGGGTTATGAACTAACAGGAATATAGGTTTGCTCCTACCCGCTGGAGAGGAGCCATGATCGCCGCGGTTTTTAGCATGCAAGGCTTAGGGCAGCTTGGTGCCTCTATTGTGGCTCTCATCACCGCCGAAGCCTTCAAGGAGGCTTACCTAGACGTCACCAGCATATCCACCTGTCATGAGCGGTGCCAACTTGCGGCAGACCGTTCTTGGCGAATCATTGTCGGAGTGGGAGCTCTACCGGCCTGTTTGGCCTTGTACTGGAGAGTAACCATCCCCGAGACACCACGTTACACCTTCGACGTAGAGCAGGATGTCGAGAAAGCCGATGCCGATATCAGGGCTTACATGTCCAGCAAGTCCAAGGGCGAGGTCGACCCCGAGCTGCAATTTAAGATGAGGAAAGAGACTGGGCCGGGCTACAACACCCCTAGCGCGTCATGGCGCGATACGTTTGCATTCTTTACGGAGTGGAAGAACTTCAAGATTCTCATGGGCACCGCATTCTCGTGGTTCTTTCTCGTAAGTACTCGTACCACAGCGGCGGATTCTCCCTGCTCACACGACCACAGGATTTGGCTTTTTATGGTCTCGGCCTAAACAACACATCGGTACTTCAAGCCATCGGCTACGCTGACGGTGATAATTTGTATCAAAAACTACACAACCAAGCTGTAGGGATGATTATTCTTTCTTCTGCCGGAGCTATTCCTGGTAAGTACTTCGGCCGCCGACTGACTCATATCTCGGTCTAACCATGGTTACGTCAGGTTACTGGGCAAGTGTATTTGCCATCGACACGATGGGCCGCAAGCCTTTGCAAATGCTCGGCTTCTTCGTCTTGACCGTACTTTTTTGTATCTTGGGCTTCATGCTGCATCAGCTTTCTCATCCGGTCTTCCTCACGCTTTACATTGCGGGGCAATTCTTCTTCAACTTCGGTAAGGATATGCGTACCAAGCTTCTAGATCACACACTGACATGTCACAGGACCGAACACTACTACTTTCATCGTACCCGGAGAGTGCTTTCCAACCCGATACCGCTCAACTGGCCATGGTCTTTCCGCAGCGATGGGCAAGGTTGGGGCCGTCCTCGCGCAGATCATCAGTATCCCGCTCCTATCGAAAGACACGCCGGCCGACTGTCACGGCAACGCATGCTCGCCCTGGCTCGATCGTCTTCTCGAGCTATTCGCCCTATTCATGTTCTGTGGGATGGTATCCACGCTGCTCATCCCTGAGACCAAGGGCATGACGCTCGAGGAGCTGGCCGGCGAGACGCCAACAACGTACGACCGCGGCCGCAACGGCAGCATATCGGACTATCCACGGTACAGCGGCAGATGGAACCCCTTTGCAGGAGGGCACCCCGCAGGCTTCCACTATCCCCGTTCCAGCCACTTCAGAGCCGCCCGCGCCGGTATCATGACGTCCCCCGACATTCTGGCCGAGGAGGAGCGCAGGAAAAGGCAGACCCGGTTTTGGCGCAAGAGGCGGAAGGACAGAGGCGGTAGCGGTGGCAGCGGCGGCGGCGGCGGCGGCGGGACGGACGATCGCCCCGCGAGCTTCCGCAACAGCGGCATCTCCTCGTCCTACGGCCGCTCGACCGGCACCTCCGACGGGCAGGCGCCTCCGGAGCCGACCGCCGACGGCAACTTCCCTACCTGGGGCGCCGGATGGGGCAGGGTGGACCGAGGAGCGCAGCCGATGGAGAACGTGAGGCTTCACGACGTCGGCAGTCTGCTGCGCAGGGACTCGAGAGCGCAATGAAAAAAATCCTTTCTGTTAGGGAAGCGGGCGTTGGGCAATTTTTCGGATGTTAAAACGTATTATGAAGGCAAACAGTTTTCTGTTCTGATGATTATATGTCGACGAGGTAGATGACACCTGAATAATGTCGCTTCTTGAAGCCGTTCACGCGGTTATTTCTCTTCACGTCGTCTTCAGTCCTCGGACTGTCTGTCTGTCGCCCTTTCTTTTATCTTTTCTACAGTTGAAGCAAAAAAACGAGATGCTCTGCCAGGTACCTAATCAATAGGACCATCAAGGGACCACACCGGCAAACGGCAAAAGGGTATGATCAGTGAGAGGCTTGAACTCTCGGCCTTGGCATTACTCAACATGTCGGATGACATATTAGTACCACGCTCTAACCAACTGAGCTAACCGACCAGTTGTGGTTGTTGACTCACGATGCCCTAACCCTGCTGATGGATGGGGTCGGTGGATGGCCAGCGGAGATACGGGACAGAGTGGGTCATCGTCAGTCATGACCCGGAGGGCCGGTTGTGCTTAACGGCATATTCAGGTAGCAAGGTGGTTTGGCTTGGAGTTTTCCACGGTTTACGAAATGTTTGGCTGTGGTGTTTTGGGGTCACGGGTCGTACAGGGCTGCTGGATTTACTTTTGATGTGTGGTGCGGAGTTTTCGCTTGAGTGAGGTAAGTTGATGTGAATGTCATAAGACTTTTTGGTAAAGGTCGTTATTGAAAGCGACTGTTTCTTTATCAAGATCGAACGGGTTGCTGATTAACCAAGTTAGGTGAATGACTCAAGTTAGGTGAATGACTCAAGTTAGGTGAATGACTCAAGTTGATCTTCATGATGTTGCTCTATGTCAACCACTCATATCTAAGCTTCAGCTTCGTGTTCCGGCTTACATAGAGACGACATTCACTACGGTTGAGCGACTGTTGTCTGTTCTCGCCATCATTCCATCAAATTGGGGGATTGGGCTGCGTACTTCTGCCATACACCACTATCGCGACGTGAGCGGCTTCTGCGTGGGAAGACGATGTCATGTTGATTCAAGAATAAGCTTTCTACACCCGTCCTCGACATCAGCGCAACCTTCGCCTCGGAATATTTCCTGCAATTCCGCTCCCGCATCGATTTTCCCAACCGAGCGGGACTACCACACATGCTGAAAAGGGTTCGCATGATTCGACTGGTCGAGAACATTTGGCTGAAGCTAGCTTTCCTCGGCCGGCTCCGAGAGTCTTTTCGGATCATAGCAACTTGGACGATTTCAAGAACTTAGTACACGTCTGATATTATATTGGACTTGATTGCTGTCTATGGAGTTGGTGTTTTGTCTCGGCCAGTCTTTGCGAGAATCCGTGCATACGGTAGGGGAGGGGGACTGGTTTGGTTGTATCCGGGCGCGCTTCTTCAGTGTTATGAGTTTTGAGTACGGATGCTGGGGATTGCGGTGGTTCAGGTTTCGAATTGACTTTGATGTGATTCCGTGGTTGGAAACACGTTGCAAGTGGCGACTTATTATCTCTTATTCTAGTTCATTACCCATGACACTATTCAACTCCAAGTAGAGAATCTGGTTGGTCATGTTTACCATTCTCAGTTTCTATGCCATCCTCAACTATCTGACAGCTGCTCTAGCACTCGAGCACTTAAGGCAATTTGATAGTGTTACATCATGAATGTTCCAACTGACTGGAAGCTTGAAAGGCATCTCCAGCTCATGCACATCAACCCCCCTCGTCTAGGTCCATTGCAGCCACAGCTAGACATCACACCGGCACGGCCCCTCTCGGTTTTGCCCTGGATTTCTCGCCGCGAACTGACATGACGGCCATTGGGGTCTGGACCGGATCTTAAAACCGACGACGAACCTTGAGCGCACGAAAAGAAGGTTGTTGTCGGCCGAAGTGATGGTGTGATGGATCGGGCGGAGTCGGGAACGGTGCGGCGACGCTACTTGAAGCGCAAAGTCGCCCTCCCACCCAACGCATCCAATCAACAATTGGATATTCCGAACCTGGCCGGCTGGCGCAATGGTAGCGCGTCAGACTTCTACTCACATTAGTGAGGAGTTATCTGAAGGCTGCGGGTTCGAGCCCCGCGTTGGTCATACTTTTTGCATTTTTACATTTTGGTGTAATCTTTGTAAGGGTACGTTTTGCCTGCGTGAAGAGCAGCAATGAGATTCTGTTGTTTATTGTTCTACAAGTCAGCGACGGTTGAAGACGCTTCACACGGTGCCTGACAGCCTCATCATTATATTGCAATCAACAGCAACACCTCACATTTTCTTTTTCTTCTTCAGACTTAATCCAGAATGTCGCAAATATCCGTCAATTTGCACTTATCCCGTCTTTGCAGAAGGTTGAAAGTTTAGCGTTCTGCGAATCAGCTACGTCATTCCAAGCGCCGCCTAATGGAAGCTACGATTGGAGTTTGTTTCCGAGCGCGGCGGTTCGCTTGTTGCACACCTTGAGCCAGGTACCTCAGGCCGTGGAGGTACCCAAGCTACACCGAAGAAGCGGCCCCACATAATTCCTGGTGGTCGCATAATCGTGAACCGCCCGCGTCGAGCTCAAGCTTCCCTCTCTCCCAAGGCAAGCTCGCGAGCCCAGATCACAAAATGGTACGTCTCCGCGCATTCCCTTCGATGCGACGCCCACAGGCGACCCCGATGCCGCGTCCATGTCGGCGCCGCTCCCGAACGTCCGCTGACGCTAGCCGTTGTCGCAGTTACCCCTCGGTCTCTTGAACGCCGCCCAAGGCCACCCCATGCTCGTGGAGCTCAAGAACGGCGAGACCCTCAACGGACACCTGGTCCTGTGCGACACTTGGATGAACCTGACGCTGAAGGAGGTCGTGCAGACGAGTCCGGTACGCGAGCGAGGCACCCGCGCGATGTTGGGAGTGTTTGGGGGCTGACGTGGTCATAGGAAGGCGACAAGTTCGTCAAGATACCCGAGGTTTACGTGAAGGGAAACAACGTACAAACAACGAAGCATTTACTCTTACAAGTATACAGGAGAAGGCTGACGCGCCGGAATAGATCAAGTATTTGCGAGTCCCCGACGACATCATCGACCTGGTCAAGGAGAACCAGCAGAACAACCAGGGCGGCTTCCGCGGAGGCAGAGGAGGACAAAGAGGCGACCACGGCGGCCGCGGAGGAGATAGGGGACGCGGAAGAGGACAGAGAGGTGGTCGTGGAAGGGGTCGCGGATCATCATGAGCTGCGGAGACGGGCCCATGATTGCCAAAGATTGCGAGAACTGAGCTACGGCGTCCCAGAAACAACACAGGCAAAGAGACCCGTCTCTTGAGTCTGGGAATCTTTTATTGAGCGTGCTTGCACCAGGCCAAAGGGGAGGGCGCGCGGCTGTCCGTCCGTGGTTGGAGACTTCTGAGGACACCATCGCCAACCGCTGCCTGTCGGGACCTGGGAACGCATGCGCACCAAACGAAACACCATACGTACTTAACAAACCCAAAAGAGAATCCATGTCATGATTACCGTCATCTGAATGTACTCCACGCGTGTGTCTCGTTGCTTCTCAGGGGCACATCGTGAACAGTCATAAGTCTCGTCACGTGATACAAAATTTAGACCGGGGTATTCTCGGTGACAGGCTCCGAAAAGTACGAGCTTTCCAGAGCTCTCAGGTCACTGGACACAACGCGACCGACCGCATTGTCGACCTTCATGTCAGGTTCACGGGTGGTTTTTGACGGCCTATGGCGCTGTCTATGCCCTTCAGTTGACACGCAAGCCGCAGCGAGACTACTGAGCTCGCCCGCTCTTCTCCCACCACCGCGCACAATCAGGAATCGATACCCCTCCAGTGCTCCCGCGCGCCACGACGCCGTTCGAACGCAATGCCGACGATACGGGGCCGCAGCGCCTCAGGCGATACCCACGAAGGAGGAACTCGAAGCCGCAAGGGCCCGGCTCGTACCCTTAGGTGACATCCCCGCAAATCGACGGGCCAAACGTCGTGCCAGAAAGGATGCCACCAAAGTCAAACCCGACCCCGAAAAGACAGTCCAGACTCTCCGAGATGCGCCCGCGAGCGCGATACACGAGGCATTGGACGTCTTGCGAGGTCGGCCGGACAGCTTCGAGAAGGTCGTGACCATGATCACGCACCTGGTCACGGGGCAGGACGCCGAGCTGACACCGGCCATGTACGAACACCTGGCGGTCGCGATGGCCGATGTCAAAGGCTCGGCGGCGACGCTCGCGCAGCTATTTACGGAGATGAAGGAGCTGCGTCTGGCGCCTTCGCCGGCGATATGCCATGCGGCACTTGCGGTACGTTGCGCTTCGCACGGGAGAGGTGATCATTGGGCTGAACTGACTTTCAATTGCAGGCCCTCGCGGTCCATCCCGACTATCTGATCCGAAACGAGGTCCTTAAGGCCATGCAGCAATCATGGACCGAAAACAGCCCCGAGGGACAGAGCCACGTCGTCCTGGGGCTGCTCCGCGACGGCCAGCTCGAACTCGCCCTCGACAGGCTGGAGGAGATGATTGACCATGACCGCGTGCCCGTCGAACCCTGGGTCTTCGACGTCTTCATCTTCGTGTTCGCGCAGCGGGGCTACGTCGAAGAAGCAGTCAAACTGGCGCACAGCAAAGCGCACAACTCCCACACCGAGACGCACCTCTCCATGTGGTACATGCTCCTGGACGTCTGCAGCCAGGCGTACCACTACGAAGGCACGAGGTACATTTGGGGCAGGATGCAGGAGGCCGACAGACGTAATTTGTCAGAGGGCGTCTTGCTCAATATTATCAACACGGCCGCGAGGCAGCACGACTACGAACTCGTCACGAACGCAAACCGCCTGATCGCCGACAGGGGCGGCAAGCTGCAGGCTCATCATTACGAGCCGCTGATCGACTGCTACGGCGGCATCGGAGACTTGAAGGGCGCTCTGCGTGTGCTCTGCATCATGTTCAACGCCATCTCCGTTGCGCCGTACGCCAGCGCGCGGTCTGTCTATGAGTGGGTCAAGAAACATCCAGACAGCCTAGACTCCGCCCTCGAATCCCTGGCTGCGCTGAAGCAGGACTACAAAATCCCGATCGCGGCGCTCAACGTGCTCGTCGAGGCCGCGGTGGAGACACACGGGTATGAGAAGGCGTTGCAGATTTACCAGAATGCGCATAACTACACGGAAGCGCCCCCGAACCACGTCACGCTGCGCTACCTCCTGCAATCGTGCCAAGATCCCGACGCTCTCAGGACCCTGGTGGCCGGGGATCTCGAGCTGGCGCTGAAGGCGGACCGCAACGTCTTCGCGGCGGTGATTTACGAGCACCTCCAGACGGGCGATCTGGATCTCACGTACAAGTGCGTCGAGATGCTGGGCGAGGCCCCAGATCCCGACTCCGTGACCCGGCCGCAGAGCTGGATCGACCAGAAGACGCTGCTGGCGCTCGTCAGGAAGTCGCTGGACGCGCAGGACGAGCGCGTCTGGTGGCTGGTCGAGCAGGCGGAGAAGAGGAACATGGACGTCCAGACGGGCATCGCGAAGCTCATGGCGAACTTTGCGGAGGAGATCAAGAGGGCGACTGGTATGAGCGAGGAGAAGGAGGTTTTGGACGACGGGTCTGAACCGCGACACCCCTCGACGTCGTGATGGCTTCCAAGGATCGATGAGCTGTCGAGCATCTATCAACATCGTTGACGATGCTCAGACGAAAGCGATGTTGTGTCCTCCAGCGTCGGGCTTGAGCAGCCCCGGAGACTAGCATTAATCTCCGCTCGCCAGCCCAGCAAATACGTACCAGACACCCCCAGTCTCGCTTATTCAAAGATTGACATGAGAACCGAGTGAATGGTCAATTGTGACAACCTTATTTCAACCGTTGTTGCTGAGATGCGGAGAACCGTTGTCTTTGGAATCATCTACCGAGCATGCACTTGGAATCAATCTGGCAAGCAAAATGTATTAGCTGAGCATCTGCAAAGCTGCTGAAGCCAATTTCTCACAGCATTCCATCGCGTCAGATCGGCTCGAAGATTCCAAAGAGCCAATGAATGCGAGAAGATTTTATTTACGAAATACCGCACACGTTCCTAGATCATCATCTGCCGAAGCAAGCCACGCGTTGAGTATGGCTAATCGCATTCTGCTTCAGCCTAGCATGGATATTCTGAAGCGTAGCGTCGCTGTCGCTTTGCCAGCAACAAATCGGATTTATAAGTGGCACGGAGGAAAACATGTCCCATCTCAAACATGGACAAGCCAGACAGAAAGACCGGGCTGAATCATCGGCGGCGGGATGACGGTTGGCTCGAACCTTGACTACCCAACGGCAAATGGGCATATCGTACGATTAAACCAATCAAATGAAGGCTTTGATGCAGATTTACGAAGGATACCTTACCGGATCTTTCGCTGATAAATCCGTGGATCCGATTAGTGATTTGCTGTCAATGTACCGCCCGTTATTCCGATGTCGTTCGGAAACACCTGCATCTGCACAATCAGCACTATCAGACGCTACTCACTCTGTCAATACCCAAGCCATCCTCAGCAAGGCTTAGCTCCTATCTCCAGCGCCCGTTCTCAACAAACGATCATCCGGCCGGCTATGCTCAAACGTCACGTCAGACCTAGGTGATTATTCCTCAACGACCCGGAACAATCGCGAATAAAGCTATTCGCGCTAAGAGGCGCGAGGGCGCCCAATGACCCGGTGACACGGCTAGATCTTACCGCAGCAGTGGGGGGAGACAAGATGCGTTTGCTCAGATTTTCGGTATCCCCCCCCTTTCGACATCCTAGTTAGGTCCCGATCGAGCACGGCACCATGCGGACGGTAACGCGCTTTCTCTGTTTCCGGCATGTTCTTGGACCTTTTCCTCCGGCGTGATTCATAATATCTACTGGTGTTTTGGGAGAAAGTTGTCCCGCAGTCGTGCTGCTCGTAAGCCCGAAAGCCACGGCCGGACCAAATCTTTTGATGCTTGCTCGGTCATCACTTAGATGCTAAGCGCGATGTTCGGTCTACTGGCTCTGGCGGCATGCCATTGTTTACTGGTCGTGGGGTATGTGACGATGAAGTATATAGATGAATGATATCTCGGGGTCTAAATCATGCTTGCTTGTTCTCATCACTTCATCAGCTTCACTCTTCGAGCCGTCTGACTTCGAGGCATCAACCTGCAAAATCCAGTTTGTACTGATCAACAACAATCTCAGTCTTCATCAGTATCGAAACACATATCACCTAGCCACGACAACATCACGACGTCTCAATGGCGCAACTAATCATAGACGCCCCCTTGGGCCAAGTCATCCGCTTCCTCACGGGGACCAAGTTCCTGCGCTACCCCGAAGAAGAGCCCGACTTCCAGCTCCCGCAACAATGGCTTGACGTCGTGAACTCGACCAACGAGAAGCAAGACACCGCCGAGACCACCCCGGCCGTCACATCCCCGGCGCCGGCGAGCTCCTCCGCCTCAACCCACACCGACGAAGAGAACAGCGTATCCCGCAAAGAAGTCGCCGACGCCGCGCCGTACGGGTCCGCCGCGGCCGCCGCCCGGATACGGAGCAGGGACGACACGACGCCGTACACCGACGAACGCCTCGAGGCCAACGACGAGGCGGTCCACGAGATCGAAAAGACAAAGTCCATCCCCATCGCGCCGAAAAAGACAAAGGACGGCGCCGTGCTGGTGGACTGGTACTTCAGCGACGACGCCGCGAACCCGCAGAACTGGTCCGACGGCAAGCGCGTCCTCATCGCCGCCATCATCTGCATCTACACCTTCGTCGTGTACACCTCCTCGGCCATCTACACCAGCTCCATCGAGGGCGTCGTCAACGAGTTCGGCGTCAACCTCACCGAGGCCTCCCTCGGCCTCGCGCTCTTCGTCCTGGGTTACGGCGTCGGCCCGCTCGTCTTCTCCCCGCTCTCCGAGATCCCCAGGATCGGGCGCAACCCGATATACATCGTCACGATGCTGCTCTTCGTCGTCGTCTCCATCCCCGCGCCCCTGGTCGACAACTACGCGGGCCTGATGGTCCTGCGTTTCCTGCAGGGTCTGTTCGGGTCGCCGTGTTTGGCCTCCGGTGCCGCCTCTCTCGGTGACATCTACAACATGATGCATCTCTCCTACCCCTTTGCTCTGATCATGTGGACGAGCTCCGCCTACTGCGGTAAGTTATCACTCTCCCCTGATTTCCGCCGTCGTTCATCCCGCTGACCCGAGATCCAGGTCCGGCCTTGGGACCCCTCCTCTCCGGATACGCCGTCACGGCAAAGGGTTGGCGCTGGTCCCTCTGGGAGATCCTCTGGGCCGCCGCTCCCGTCTTCATTGTCATGTTCCTGTTCCTCCCCGAGACCTCCGCCCCTAACATCCTCCTCCGCCGCGCCGCTCGCCTCCGCAAGCTTACCGGCAACGACCGCTTCATGTCCCAGTCCGAGATCGACCAGCGCAACCTCAAGACCTCCGCCGTCGTCATCGACGCGCTCATCAAGCCCCTCGAGATCACCATCAAAGACCCGGCGATCCTCTTCGTCCAGGTATACACGGCCATCATCTATGGAATTTACTAGTAAGTCGACCTCCTCCAAACAAGCAGCCGCCAAACTAACAACCCACAGCTCCTTCTTTGAGGTCTTCCCCCTCGTCTACCCGGTCTACTACCACATGACCCTCGGCCAGATCGGCCTCGTCTTCCTCTGCATCCTCGTCGCCTGCCTCCTCGGCGTCGCCATGTACATGTCCTACCTGGCCTTCTACATGATCCCCCGCATCCGCAAGCACGGCTTCCCCGTCCAGGAGAGCCGCCTCGTCCCTGCCCTGCCCGCCGCCTTCGGCCCCACCATCGGCCTCTTCATCTTCGCCTGGACCGCCTCCCCGGCCATCCACTGGATCGCCCCGACGATCGGCATCACCGTCTACGGCGCCACCGTCTTCGTCGTCATGCAGTGTATCTTCGTCTACGTCCCCCTGAGCTACCCGCAGTACGCCGCCAGCCTGTTCGCCGGCAACGACTTCTTCCGGTCCGCGCTCGCGTTCGCGAGTATCCTCTTCGCGAGGCCGCTTTATGGCAACCTGGGCGTCGCGAGGGGCACGAGTTTGTTGGGCGGGTTGAGTACCATCGGTATCATTGGTATTTGGCTGCTCTACTTCTACGGGGCTAGGTTGAGGGCCATGAGCAAGTTTGCCATCTCTGGTTGAGATTAGGCGAGCAGTTTGTGTGGTGTTCTTTCAACATGGCCCAGCGGGATTTTGATTTTGGGAAAGGGAGAGGGCTTCGTCTTCGTAAGATATCCGGAGTGAGAGTATACATACTTAGAATAATGTGATTATATTAATGTACAATTATTCAACTACGATGACTACTTTAAGGCTTCCTCCAAGGCCCATTGTCTCATCTTGTACTCATTCGACTTGTTTCATTGACCGCAATTATCTGCTTCATCTAACTCTGAGCTCTCGCAGGAAGGTGACAGATCAGCAGGCACGTCGCCGTTCATTTTGAGAGCCGTCGAAGGTTACTTACCGCAGGATTCGAAGAGCTCGTTTAGTCCAGCTGCCTCATGGTCGAGGCGTGTCATCAGTTTGTTTCAGCAGTATTGTTGAAGTCACTTGCACTCACCCGAAGTCATCGCTCTAACCTCTATCCTCTAATCCCATAAGTAGGCAGCTAATAAAGCCACCTCTTTACAACCTAATTATCGCGTCTCTTCAGATGTTGCCGCGGCGTATCTGCCGAAATCTCGAAAACGTGCATGAGTTCAGCGATAAGTGAAATAACAAACGATCGACAACTCGTCTTCGCCGGCCACCCCTGCTTGGCCCGAATTTGTGACACTCGGTCCGGAAGGCGAAGTTTTGCGGAAACGAGCGGGACATTTGGAATGTTCACTTGACAGAAGATGGACGGGATGTCTCCAGGCTTTTAATACATCTGATGGTGGTCTTATGAAATTGCACTCTTTCCAGTTCCAAATGATAGCATACACAGTTGTGAGGATTTCAACTGAAGATTGATCCGTTGAAGGAAAGATGGCTGAGGGATCGACTCCAAATCACCTTAAAGTTTAGGCATACACGGGACATTATATCAGAGAGGCAGGCCTTATATTTGCGAGACGGACTGGTGAGAACAGAAAGATGGTCCGAGGCCAGGAGAAAGAGGTGTCAAACCCCCATAGAGTCGACTGCAGCAGACTGCTGGAACGATATCTGTAGCCGACTTGCTTCATGGTGGCAATCGGTTACGGCAAAGCAAGTCCGAGATATACAGGGTCTCAAATGTGAGTATCGGCGATTATACTATGGCGACCTTCGGCTTTGATCTTCCGACCTGCACTGGTAATGCGAGTTGAATAGCATTCCTCTCGACAAGGAGGCGTGAAAACAAAACATGGTAAGACGTTGGAACTCGACGATGATTATCCCAATCACAAGCTTATCAATGGAGCAGGAAATAAAAGACTAGAAATGCCCCCGTCGAAGAACAGAAAGAAAACACCACATGGGCAACACCACGAGACAAACATTACGACCATATCATCTGGGTATTTCATAGAGGTGAACGAATGTCATTATTAGCAGGACTCCATCCGTCCCAGATCAAACAACGCCACACAACTCCCGGTGCCATGTCCAAATATCCAAAACGGAAGCAACTAAGGCAGCCCAAACAACTCTCTACATCTGTATGCCTGTTATTCACTCCCTGTACGATCCCAATTATGTAGAGAGAGCCACGAGCCGATACGTCCAGCCAACTCTCTGTTCTGTGAACCCTCACTGACGTCAACGCCAGGAGCAGGACTGCTTGTATGTAAGCCCCCTCCTCTCTTTCTAACACATATAACCCAACTGCAGTATTACGTTGAAAATCCGCTCCTTTGAAGGAGGTCGACCACTTGTACCACGTGACCTTTGCTGTCGTGCGCAAATGACCGCCAACCAACCAAACCATCCAGAACAAGTTTCTTTCTCCCGCCCGCCCAGGAACGATCGTCTTCAGCTGGGTTTCGCCTTGCCTCACCCAGACCCAGACCCAGGCCGTCCGCCTCGCAAACCATTACTCGCGTGGTCTTTCCTCCCCGAGAGGTCCGGCAATGAAGATCCCTCGGCTCCATAAAATTTCGATGAGCGATGAACCTGCGTTCCTGAAGATCTTTTTTCGTCCTCCCGCTAGGTAAAAAAAGCCTCAACCAACAATAAGATCTTTTGACAACGAAGAGAGATAGTAAAAGCTTGGCAGCTTGTGCGAAAAAGGGGAGTTGAAACAGCCACTTGCGTAGTCGGCGCAGCTAAGGGATGGGTCAACGAGACTTCTATGATGGTGGGGTGGGGTTTGGTTCATCAAAGAGGCGTCAGACGATAGGTCTAAATCGAAAAGCTCGCTTGCGTCTAATGCATCAAAAGATTGCGAAAAAGGCCCCCCCCCCTTCCGCGATGATTCGCACTAGCAAAGTGTTCAAGAACAGCAAAACAAGAAGCCAAGAAACATCGCGATCCAATCCTTCCCGTCTCAACGGCCCGAAGAGAAGCACTGATTGGGGGGTATCGAAGGGCAACAACACGGCGCTTTTCCCATTAGTCGCGTGACTTAGACCCGTTCCGCCACGAAACGAATGAGGGGGAACGGGAGAAAGACCTCTCTCGCCCGGCCGCCGTTTCGGAACATGCGCGGATCGGCGGGGATCCGACGCTAGGGTGACCACCCGGCCGAAGATCCTCATCTCGGGGTGGGTCTCGTTGCCGCGCGCGCGTGCGTGCGTGCGTATCCGGGACCCGGTGCTTTCGTAGGCCGCGTAAAGGACGCGCGAATTTTCGAATTTGCCCATCCCGGATTTTATGAGATTTTTGTCTGTTTCCCATGACGGAATCCGTCGGCACAAGAAAAAAGGGGGGTGTATGTCGAAAATTGATGTATACGAGAATGAATGAATCGTGGAAAGCCCGCGTCTTGTGGGGGTAAAGTAGGACCAGCGATGGACGGATGACGACGACGAGCAGATTGATGATGACGCAAAGACGGTGATGAACGGTTTACTAACACACACACGCGAAATTATTCTGCAATTCTTCTTTCAAAATCAAAATGTTTTGTGCTTCGCCGGACCGGCGGGGTATCCACACACACACACACGCCCTCACAACTCGGCGCTACGGTCCGTTAGCGCCGTGTTCCGCGCCAACACCTCGTCCACCAGCGCCCGGCCGGGGAAGTCGATGATGACGATGCCCGTCTTGCCGGCGTCGGCGGCGCCGGCGCTCTCGGCGAGCCAGTCGCCCGTGCGGTCGTTGATGCCGGCGACGGTGTGGTTCAGGTTCCCGGCGGCGGCCTCGATGGGCAGCACGCCGACGGAGGCGCTCAGGTGGGCGAGGTAGAGGACGCGGTTGGTGGGCTTTGCGGTCGCGGCGCGGCGGAGGGCGTTCTCGACGGCCTCCCACTTCATGTAGAGGTGGTCCATGCTGGGGATGATCCAGAGGTCCTCGAGGACCATGTCGGAGGACTCCCAGACGACGCCGTAGGGGGACTTGGGGCCCTTGGAGGGGAAGTTCTGGAGGAGGAAGATCTTGGAGCGCAGGGCGGCGAGGGTCGGGAAGGGCCTGCGGGGGTCGTGGGGGTGGAAGTGGGCAAGGGCGCCGGGGGAGGTGAGGGAGTCGTTGTGGAGGTAGTTGTTGAAGGCGTCCTCGAAGGTCATGGAGTTGGTGCCGAGGGGCCGGCCCTCCTCCTTGAGGCGCATGACGACGGTCTCGGAGGGGTGGGCGTCGAGGAAGTCGAAGAGGGTGAGGAGGACGCTGGTGTAGGAGTGGCCGGTGTACATGGAGGCGTGGTAGATCTGGATGGAGTCGTTGACGAGGCGGCCGCGGATGTCGAGGTAGCGCATGCCGGCGTGCAGCTGGGCGGAGAGGTTGTGGTTCTGGCACTGGAAGACCTGGTCGCGGAGGTCGAAGGTCATGGTGTCGTGGGTGCCGGGGATGGAGAGGCTGGTGAGGTTGGCGTCGTCCGGGATGGCCTTCATCCAGTCGGCGTGGTCGGCCTTGTCGACGTCGAAGGAGTGGTGTGATTCATAACCGCGGTAGCAGTGGTTCTTGGACTTGACGAAGCAGGGCGCCAGGCCGAGGAGGACGGAGAAGAGGGCTGAGATGAGGAGGAAGAAGGAGATGACGTAGAGCAGGGGCATGCAATGGAACCGCATCTTGGGCGATGTGTGAGAGGTGATGAGATGAGAGAGAGAGTGAGTGAGTTCGTCTGACTATGTGAAGCTCACTGAGTGAGAGTCCGGGTCGGCGTAGAGACGGATGAGATGCTAGAGCCGCCGATGATCCGGAGTATCCTCGACGACACGGAGCGGGAGTGTGAGCCTCTCGGTGTAACGGCGGAGGTGCGTCTGGCGCGTTGTCTCCGGCACGGCGGGAGACCGAAATGTCCCGTTTCAGAAGGACTCCGAAGTCTAGGTAGCACGATCTTCAAACCCACGACGCGTTCTATGCTGAACTGAATGAAAAGGAAAAAAAAAAGGAAGATTGGGAGTAACAGAACCGAACTTCCTACATTTGCATTCGAGAATGATTCAAACCATGATTGCTCAGGGGGCAAGATGACATGAAGTCAGAAAGGAAGCTACGGTCGCGACGACACGGCGTTGCTTGGGGCACGTGGGCATTGACGGCGTTGACGGTTGGAGCGCCGCGCCGACGTTGATCCGGAATTAAAAGGCGTCCGGGCCGAGTCGTTCAGGGCGCGGGTCGTTCATAGCGTCCCCTATTCTTTGCCCCTGAGTTGATGGTGGGATATCCTTGCATTGTCTTTTTGATCCGGCGATGGACTGAGTGGTGGTGAGGAAGTAAATCTGCTGTCTTACTAACCGGAACAGTCAGCCTCTTTTCTCGTGGTTACGACTCAGAAACTTGATGCCGGTCTGGAATGGGAGGGAAACGCATGCCAACACCGGCAGCGCCCGGTCCTTGCGGGGTGGGCGCCGTGAGCGCCGTGGACAGGGCGATAAGTGACCCGCCCGGGCTGCCGGCGCCATAGCGCGGCGGTGGCCGATTTGCTTACATTGACGCTCGCATCCAAAACCTCTGATGTGATGTCAGTCCCCCCCCCCATCGAAGCATCCAAAATCAACAATTTTCGTTCCCGCGTCTTGCGTCTTGACCGCCGAGCCCCATCTCGGGAGGCCCCAGACCTGCGCGGGGTCGTA